TATCTAAATGATCTTCATAAAACTTCAAGCCTAACAAAAATAATCTTTGCAGACGACACAAATTTATATCTATCTCATGAAAATATTAATATTCTTTTCAACAACATGACAAATGAATTAAAAAAAGCTTCTGATTAGTTCAAAATAAATAGGTTATCTCTCAACACAGCTAAAACTAAATGGACACTTTTTTATCCACTCCATAAAAACATAGAATACCTCGTTTGTTACCCGAACTATATATTGACAATGTAATGATAAAAAGAGAAAAAGTAACAAAGTTTCTAGGAATCTATATTGATGAAAATTTAACTTGGAAACATCACATTAACATTATCTTTTCTAGAGTTTCCAAATGCATCGGTATTCTTTATAAAGCTAGAAACATACTAAATAAACGGCAGCTGACTCAACTGTACTATTCATTTGTTCACTGTCATATAAACAATGCAAATATTATATGGGGAAGCACTCAAAAGACAAAACTTAAAACTCTTTTTAATCATCAGAAACACGCAGCTCGCGCAATTAATTTTAAAAATCGTCTTACTCACTCTGCGCCACTTCTTAAAGATATGAAAGCTTTGAATGTTTATCAACTTAATATTTTTAATATTTTATGCTTTATGTTCAAGTGTAAAGAAAATTTATCTCCACAGGTATTTCAATATCTTTATTCTTTAAAACCGAAAAACAAATATAATTTACGAATTGACAACAATCTTAATGCTTCTTTTTGCAAAACTAAATACGACGAATTTTGTATGTCCTATCGTGGACCTCTTCTTTGGAACAAAATAGTTTTACCTAATTTTGACTTTTCAATCAAACTAAACTACTCCTCATTCAAAACCAAAATTAAAGAAATTATCTTTTCAATTGAAAACATCTTTATCTATTTTTGAGTTTTTATCAATTTATTGCTGATATATTATACTTTATTGTATTATGTTTTACTATTTACGAATATTTCCATGAGTTCTTTGCAAACTTATGTATTTAATGGTTTTTATTTTATTACTTTTTATTACTGTGTTTTGTTAAACTTCATATTATCTTTGTTATTTTACGAATTTTTATAACTTCATTATAATATTACGTATTTATATTATATTATACTCGATACTAAAATGCATTGTAAAGGGCTTCATGATAAGATTCTCATGATCTTCTAGAAGTCCTGCCACTAAATTTGTAATATGTTAAAATTTGTATTATTAAAAAAATTATTTGGCAAAAAAAAAAAAATATATATATATACGTATTTACATTACGTACATATTGGGGCTCGGTGATAAGACAAAATAATGTATATATGTAAAATAATGCAAATACTTGCCCCACCAATGTTTTTATTTACAAACTTTTAAATTGTAAAAGTTATTAAACGGCGAAATAAACAAACAAGCAAAAAAACTGAAATTCTTCTTTCACAAAATAGTTTGATCATATTTGGTTTTGAACCTGTTTCAACTCAACATGATGCTTTAGTGCTTGTCGATTTTAAAATATGGCAACAAGAGCATTCTCAAAGCTTAGTTGCAGCACATACATTATTGACACATGTACATTCTTCCTTACACTTATAAAATGCTTCAATTTGTTGTTGTTGCTTAGATTTCCTTTCTTTATTGGCCTGCTCCCTTTTGGTTTTGTCTTCTTTGATTGATGAAACCGTTTCCAATATTTTTTCCCTCTTCATTGAGCCTTGAACTGGCTAACTTCTTGTTTACTTTAGGTGTTACTTTGGTTACAGGCAATAAATTGGGTATTTTTTTAAATGATAATTTATTTGATATTGTTTGATAAGCTTCCATGGCATTTTTGTATTTATGTTTCCAATAGCTTGCTGAGCCATAATGATTACCTTTTGGAGATGAAATTGTTAAAGCTGTTGTTGATTGATTATTTTCAGTATTTTTATTAATACACAGCTTGGCTCGTAAGAGCTTATCTTCCTGCATCAACTCAACACTGAGTCCTCTACTTGAAATCCCAATTTTTTACCTGTATTTATAGTTGTTTGTTTTGATGCGAGTATATGCATGTAACCTTCCATGTTGATTGTCATAAACAACGAGTAAAGTACAGATTTAGCACTTTGGTACTAGAGTGCAATATCTGAATAATATTGTACTTTAGTGATCAAGGAGTTGGGTAACGCCAGTTTTGTCAGGTGGAGTGATGAAAATTCGAATATTTTTGCTTCTAAGAAATGTCAATACCTTACAGTCAAATCTTGAAGAATGACCGTCAGATTGGACAACGACAGACCGTTTTATATTGTTTTTTTCTAAATAGTGGTCTAATATTTAGTATGCACTTAGAAGAGTACTGTGATCTTCCTGCTATGTACCTGTTTCTAATTGATTTCCATCAATGAAAATAATAATTTTTTTAAGTTTTTCAGCTAACTCGTTAAGATGGTTACGCACCATTTCTTTTATACAGTTAATGGCACAATTTACAGATACAGTTTCATGTCTGTTTTTGTGATGCACTTTTGATATTTTGCATCCCAACGCTTCTAAAAAGACTAGCTAAGCTTCTTTTTTTGGAGTGCTTGTTGGGCATTTGGTGATAGTCTAGTAATCTGGCATCCACAGAGGATTCTACATGCTTGTTTTTTTAGTCCCAAAACATTCAACTTTGTCATTTTAATTTTTTCTTGTTTAAACATTGGAGCCATCTTAATAAACATAAAAAGGCAACATAACAGACTAGCGACTCTTCCTCATCGTAAAAATATTCATTCTCTTGTTAAATTTTAATGACATAATCAAGTTTTTTGTTAATTGTTCTTAGATCTTTAACAAAAGTTGCGTTGATTTGAGCGTGGAAACAAAGTACCCTAAATAGTAGGCATCACCCGCCCAAATGAGAGGGGAAATGACTTTTCGAAAAAAAAAAAAGTTACATCCTCTAATAAAATTCAAATGTGTATCTATATTTAAAGTTTGATCAAAAAATCGTTCAAAAATTATAGGCATTTAAAGTTTAGAGCCCCCTCAAAACGAGGGGGTTGTAAATTTAAACTGGGTATAATTTCTAAACAACATAATATTTTTGAAAAAAAATTTAGAACCTTAACGATCTAATTTAGGATATAAGAATTTATATTTAGAAAAACCGATTCCCTACACATTTGGGCGGGTGATGCCTACTTTTTCGGTTTTTTTTTGTTCCCAAGCTCTAATTAGCGCAATTTTTAGCAAATCATTCTTAAATGACTAAAGAATAAAAATACAAAAATTTGAAGCTTAGAACTTACCAAATCCTTATACCAAAAAATCCTGGATCTGCCCCTGTATTCACTTAGCATTCTAAGGTTCCTAAATCTAGCTTTTTGTAGTGGAATACAATAAGTAAAAAGGTAAATGAAATAAACATTTAAAAATATACTCAGCATGGAAAATAATGCTTTTAGGCAGAAATTCATGATTTTCTAAACAATATTAGAAGCTGTGCAACCAATTATTTAACCTGACATTTTGAGGTCCCTATAAAAGTTTATCCTAAATAATTATCTTAAGACATATGAAAATGGTACCCCCCAAAAATGTAATCTAATTGGCATTCTAACAGCAATGGTGGGGTTTGTACCACGGATCCTTGGCAAAGATTGTCCGCCTATTGCGTGACGTAATTTGCGAACAATTCTTTTGAGATGTTGCAACGCTAACTTCATTTAAAAAACAGAAGTAGGTCTTTTTTAGGCTTTTTACGCGGCAATTTTGATTCAACTTAATGCGCTATTTTAATTTTTTATATAACTTAAGGCTCTGCGAGGGAAAACTTTTTATCTTTTTTGTTTTGTTTATGTTTATTATTGTAAAATTAGTGAAATTGTTTACGTAATTTATCCCTTATTGCTTAATTATTATTTGTTTAGGCAGAAAGAACCAATATATATATATATATATATATATATATATATATATATATATATATATATATATATATATATATATATATATATATATATTTATATATATACATAAAACTTCGTATTTTTTCAATTTCTGGACTTTTGTTTTTTATCAACTTGTTGAATTGTTTTTATTTGCTTTAGGACTATTTTATGAATGCAATATTTATCCAAAGATTACTAAGCCCCTTTTAATATCAAAATGCTGAAATTTTGCTTTGATTTTAATCAACTACTTTTACTTTTCTCTAGTTCCTTAGACTTTGTTGCCAAGCGACCATATTTGGGATGGAATGTATTATGAGAAACTTTAAAGAAGTCTACTCAAGAAAATGTCAACAGACTAAAAACTTTTCTCTTTTTTTAGAGTATAACTACAATATGGTCAGTGTAACCTAATCTGCTCGGTGAAATTTAATCGATAAAAATCGATAAAAAAAAATTAAATTAAAAACAAAAAAACAAACATTTCAATGTTTTTTTCTTTTTAAAACAAAAAAGATATTTCTTTTAATTACAGTATTTACTCATTCCGTAAAATTAAATTTTATTTGAAACAAAAACATTTAAAGGAAAGTAGTAATTTAAAAGTAAAATCCAACAGCGTTTATTGAGGGTTTTTTCAACAACAGGATTTTTTAAGGATTTTCAATGATAGAGACTAAGTTTTAAAATAAAAAAAATCGATAAAAAAAAAATTCCAAATCAAAAATTTTAAGAAAATTTTAGTAACTAAAAAAATAAAAAATAATAATCAAATTATTTATAAAATTTATACTTAAATTTAATGAGTCGAGGTGAGACGAGGAGGAGGAGAGCTAATGAGAAGTGAGACGAGGAGGAGCTAATGAGATAAATTGATGAGAAGACAAACTTTCTTTGTCTATATAAAATAATATAAAATCCTAATGGTCTTTTGGACCAGGAATTAAACTTTTTAATTTATTTGTTGAAATTTGGATAATATATTCTAATTAGACTAAAAAAAAAAATACTCAAATCGAATATATCGTGAATATATCGAAAAATACGCCAATCGAATATATCGAGATTAATTAGAAATCAACAAAAATTGATCAAATAAGAAAAATATATAAGATATTATAGTAAATAATTTAAAAAATACATTATTTATAAAAGTACAGGGTGAATACAAAAATAAATTAAACGAAAATAATAGTAAAAAAAAATAAAGTTTCGATTCTAATGAAGACGAGCTTGTCGAACGTTTTTGTAAATTTTTTTATAAAGTTATATTTCTACAATTTACAGAGACATTTTTGATTTGAATGCGAGATAACCAATTATGTCATGTTTTCCGAGCATCTGTAAAAAAACTTTGGTTGACAGATGACGATGACATATGGACAGATGAAACCATGAACAATATACATATGTTAAAAATAATTATCATATGCTAAAACATCTTTCATTTAGTTTTATGTGATCACATGATAAAACGTCATCAGCGATTTTCCTTTCCCAAATTCGACTGAAAATATAAACTTAAGTTATGATGTCATAAAAACAAAAATATAAGACAAAATTAAAAAATAGAAAAATAAATTGGTAATAATAATAATAATAATAATAATAAACTAACAGTCATTTGATCTATTTCATTTGACAGCTCAGCAATCATTGGAACAGTGCTAGTCTAAAAAAAACTTTTTTTGTAAAAAAAATAATTTCGTTTTTATCTTATTCGTTGACAAAATAGAATCTCATTCCAAGTCTACCTACCTTATTCGCAGAAAACCTACTCGATTGAGAAAACCTCATTAAAAAGTCCTACCACATTTTTCAAATTAAGTGCTTATTTGTATATATCTATTCGACTGTAGAAAACCTACCTCATTTGTAGAAGAACTTCCATTGTCGTTAAAAGATGGCGAAAATGAATTGGTTTCAGATAAATCGAAAATTGTATCGGGATCCAAGGCAGGTGGAGGCGAATACATACTTGAAACATCAAGTTCAGTAGAACAAATCAGAGCATCTAAATCCGTTTCTGATTTTCTTCGTCGAAGCGAACCAAACACAGAGCCTTTTTTACGCAACTTTGAATAAACATGATAAGAATGGTAAACATGTGTGTTTAATAAAATTGTTTTATAAAAACAAAATGTTTTTAAATTATAAAACCTTGTGTTTAACTGATCCATTCAGAGGAACAAAGTCTGAAGTTTTTTGAGTCATCTCTTTCTGTCTTTGACAAGCATCTCCAAGTAGAGTCATAAAATGAGAGCCAAGATGTCGCCGAAGAAGAGTTTTATTATAAGGAATCGATAACAGATCAGCAAGAGTATCAGCGTTAAAACGAGGTTCGAGGACCTAAAATACAATTTAAAACTAAACAAGTTAAATTTTAATTTTATCAATAAACTTACACCATTTTAAACATATTTTTTACCATAAAAGCACCATGCACACCACTACCCCTAAGGTTGGGTGCGTATTCCGCTAAATCAACAGATCTTAGCCAGTGCATTATTCTTTGATTGGTCCATAACATGACATGGTCACATCGTTCCTCTGACTAAAAATAATTAAAATAAATCAAGATGTCAAATTATTCACAAAATACTGCAAGAAAAAATCACATCGAAACCAAATTAAAAAAAAACTAGAAAGGCTATAACAAGCTTGTTGCTAAGGCTACCTGATTAGCGATTTCTCGTAGATATTGAGGATGAAACTTTTGATGTCTAAAAGAAATGAAGAAAAACAAGTAGATGAGAATTGATAAAAAATTTTTTTTTTTAACTTTTTAACCCACCTTTATCAAGAAACAAGAAACCATGACAATAAGTAACAAACCAATAGAAATGTAAAAAGCTTGAAAATAAAGCATAAGTTTGTGTTTTGTATTTAATACTATCAAAAATAATAATAAGGTATGTAACCATATAACCTTAAAAACTGGATGGCTCGTTTTAAACTTGCATGATGGAGTAAACTGTAAACTTTTAATTGTAAAACATCGTCCTAAAAAAAACATCGTCCTAAAAAAACAGCGTTCTAAAAAAAACATCGTCCTAAAAAAAAAAAAGTCTTAAAAAAAACATTGCTAAAAAACAGCACTAAAAAGCAGAAATGCACTAAGCAAAATAAAAGTAAAAAACACACAAAACTAAAACTTAATTACCACAGTTAAGTTGAGAAGAACACGTCCATCAACTTTGTGCATAAAAAAGGCTTGCTTATATTGAGGTAGTCCAAGATCTTCTAACCACTTTGCAACCCAATGATGATCAAGCCGACCAGCATAATCAGGTTCATTTGATGTTATTGCCTGTTATCATAGTAATATTAGTGTTTATATTTTGATGAAACTTTTTTAAATTCAACACAATTATTTAATACTTTAAATACTATACTAACATTTACTTTATATTTTATACTAACATTTACTTTATATTTTATACTAACATTTACTTTATATTTTATACTAACATTTACTTTATATATTAGTATATAAAGTAAATGTTAGTACAAAATGTTAGTATATGTAGTAGATACTATAATATATACTATAAATATTTTTATACTAATATCCAATTTAAAATAATCTAAATAACTATTTAGTTTAAAATATTAAAATAACATAAACAATACTTATACAAATATTTACAAATACCTACAAAATATTGTGTATATACAAATACCTACATATTGCGTATATACAAATACCTACAAAATATTGTGTATATACAAACACCTACATATTGTGTATATACAAATACCTACATATTGTGTATATACAAATACCTGCAATTTTACAAAATACAAAAGAATAAAAAAAGATAAAAAAACAAGGAATAAAATTTTATTATATATATTATATATTTAAATCTTTTATGCTTTGTTTTTTTTTTTTGGAATTTTGTAAAATTTTGTCATAAAATAATTAAAAAAAAATCTTTTATATCTTATAAATTATTTTTTTTGTATTGAACTTAATACACGCTTTTGTTGATATGTAAATATATATATATATATGTAATAACTTATATATTATATATATATGTAATACATCTTTAACATAAGTTAACAGGAGGTATATGGAACGATCATGTATAATATATATGTAATATGAGAAAACTTCAAAATTTTATTTTACCAATTAAAAGTCTTTATTGCTAAGTATATATTTTTTTTGCAATAAATATATACTGAAAGATCGAAAAAAATTAAAAATGTATTATACTTAGGGATGGATTTGAACCATTGGAAACAACACTGATGATAGTGCACTAAATTACTGAGCTTTCGAAGATATACATTTAAGTGAAAAATATCAGTCAGTATGAAATAGATTTTTTTTTAAAACATCTTCACTTAAGAGAAATCTGCAAGCAACAATTATTAGAGTTGGAAGTTACTAGAGGAGAAAAGATAAAATTTATAAAGCAAGATAACAATAAACAGACAACTTATAAGACTGCAAATCAGATATTTGTATATGAATCAGAAAAACAAGATGAAGGAAGTGAATTCCGAAGAACTGATGTTAGAGGAAAAAAAACTAGACAAATAAGAATTTTTGGAGCACTTAGGAACAGTCACAGTAAAAGGATGAGACTTAATTGAATGAGGAATAACATGAGAATGAATTTTGGTACAAGAGATGCTATCTCTTTAGAGCAGTGCCAATAAGTAGTTATAAAAAGGTGAAAGAGAAGCAACATTACAATGGTTAAAGGTTGGATGCAATAGCAAGTCCAACTAGATTTACAATGCGGTTTTGCATCTTGTCTAAAAGAGAAAAGGAATCATTCAAAGATCTGCTCTAGATGTGGCCGCAGTATTCCATACAAGGATGGATTTGAGATTTATGAGATAAAGAATAGAATTCAGAGTTTTTTGCAAAATTTATTGCAAAATAAGCAACTTTAGCAGTTGCTTATTTTGCAATGAAATATGGTTTCTAAGAAAGATGCAAGAATTAATCCTAGTAAGAGTTTATCCTAGAAGACAAAGGGTATATGACTCATTGAGTACGTTACCATTCATAAACACAGAAAGATCTAGATTGTTGCAATAACGATTAACTGAAAAATATTGATTTTTATTAAAGTTAAAGTTCACCAGCCACTAAGAGCCCTTCATGCTGTAGTTAAGTGATATCCTTTTCAAGCTCAAATGCCCCCTTCAAGCTATCAAAGGGTGAGATATAAGGTGCTTGTTAACTAAAGACTTAAAAATCTTATTATAGTAAGAAGGACTAATATGATGGAAATTGACAAGTCAGAAAAACGGATTGAAGAAGATTGCTCTTCAGAATTTTTGAAAATAGGAATAACAGATAGAGGAGATATAAAGATATAAGGAGACATAAAGAAAGAAGGCTTGGTCAATTTGATCAGAAATAACATCAAAAAGAGTGCAGCCTTGAAATGAAGGAGAGCGATATGGAACAAAGAGAAAAAAAATAGAGTGAAGTGATGCTAAACGAAAGCAGATAAAAGAATAGTTAGTGGATTCAAACCTAGTTTCCCGACAAATGGCTGAATTCTTATGAATGTAAATATGCCCAGGCTAAACATGTGACTATTGGAGTTTTTACGAATTAAAGGAAGATAACCATCAACACTAAGATCAGCCAAACTAAAAATTAGTCTCCCAAATAGCAAGTAGGTCTGGCAAGTTTTGCAAGAGATAAGACTCAACAAAAAAAAAGTTACTTCAAAAATCACAAATATTAGTGAATGGTAGATTTAGAGATCTTGGTGATGATGATGGACTTGTGTTTCATAGTTCAGTCATTTTTTTACTTATTTCAGTCATTTTTTAAATTGATTAAAGAACCTGACTCAAAGCACAGATAGTACTCAGTACACTATCTAATAGTCCAAGCAATAGCCTCATTACTAATAATAAACCCAAGCCCTAACAAAGGGCCAAATGGCCTTGACAATGCATACCAAAAGTATGAACAGGGACACCATTCATGCGCAACATAGCACTGTTAGTACTCTGGTATTTTACACCTGTTGATGAAATCTCTCTGACCTCTCTGAGAGCTACCACAACCTCTCTGAGAGCTACCACAGTATTCGGGAAACCTGATTACCAGCCGGCCTCAAAACCATAACTGAGTTTTAGAGCTGTACCCCCATTAAGAGATAATAGAATGACTTGCCTAATCATAAAAATAGAGGCACAAGCAAAACCCATGCGATGAGTCAAGAAGATCCAGCATTCAACATCTTAAACTGGAAACAATGTATTATAAATACATCTACTCCAGCCTAATAGATTAAGAAGGAGCGAGAAGCTGGTCAACAGATAGAATCTGTTTACCCCTTACTTACAAAGTCCTGTCAGTTAGTTTTGTAATAATAAGTAAATAACTTCGCAATAATAAACTTTATAACACATGTTACTTAATATTGTATTTAACAAATAAATATATTTTTATTTATAAACAAATGTTACCTTCCCATAATGTATGTTATTTATAAAACATGTTATTATTCTTAAACACATGTTACCTTTTGATAATGCATGTTACCCATAAACATGTTATTACTTATAAATATAAGTTATTAATCATAAACATGTAACCATAATTACCCATAATGAATTTTACCCATTATTAGCCAGAAAATAATACTATTCGTAATTACCCATAATCATTTTGTATGTTATTACAAAAGTTACCTTTAAAGCTAAACTAAGTTTCCGCTTATGCATAGGATCAGTGATTCCCAATTCTCGTTCGTAATCTGATAGTGTAAATTTAAGCAAATCATCTCCTTTTTTAACACTTTTGGAGCAAGCACTTGCATATTCCTCTAATCCTTCATCTCTAAGCCAATCCTGAATGTGTTCACATGGCCATAATGCAAATGGGGAATCACTATATGTTCTATGGAAAATAAAAAAATATATATCTCTTCAAAAGACATTTGCTGTTATACAATAATATATGAGTAGAATTCAATAAATGCATATAAACATTTCTTTAAATATTTAAAAAAAAGTTCAACAAACAAAACTTGACCACAACTAAAGAGTTGTGGTCAAGTTATGTTTGTAAAATTTATTTGAAAAATTTATTTGGTAAAATTATTGATATAAATTTAACAAAAAATTCAACCAAAAATATTTTTAGTAAAATGATATTAATATGATTCTTTAAAAATGTGAGAAATTTCTTCTATACATTTTTAATAAACATTTAACTGCAGATGAGATACCAGCTAAAGATATGATGTAGTAGATTAGTAACATAAAATGTTCAGTTCATTATAGAAAGCAATTATAATTATAGAAAACATAAATTTTATTAAAAAAATGTTTAATTAACAATGTTATTCATTTTGAATAATCCTTTATATTGAATGGAAATCAGAACAGTATTTCAAAACAGAAGAAGTATTTGATAGAATACAAAAACAAAACAAAATATTATGACTTGAGTTTATATTGTAAAATTAATGTTATAATATTTGTTTTCATATCTTTCTGCTTGTTCTCATAAAAACACATCTTTCTGTCTCTTCTCTTAAAGAAATACAGATACATATATCTATCTGTTGTTTGATCTTCTCTGAAACATTGTTTATAAAAATACTCATAATCTTTTCATCAATTATTGCTACCTACTACACCTGTACTCATTCACGCAGCAAGTTGATAATGGTATACCTATCATACTTAATAGCTGCACTTTAGAAAGATGTGGAAAGATGGTTGCTTTTGCAACCATCTTTCCACAAACAACTACATCTCTGTTTTAACACATTGGTTTCAAACAGCAAAAACTTAAATAAGAAAGCTCTCTCTCTGATAAAACGCTATAAGATAGTATTTAGAAGACATAGAAATTAGATAAATTCAAATGACAGATGTAATATACTTTTATCAGCAAAACAGCAACACAAATGTAATATACTTTTATCAGCGAAACTTAATTGAACACAAATGAGCAGAACTAAAAATTTTTCTTCAAGAATTTTTTTTTCTTCCCAAAAAATGATTTTTAATATAAAAAAAAAGAACCGTTCAAAATAAGCAAATATGATATTAGAGAACTTACTTTTATTAAAACCAAAAATAAAAAAAGACTTTTCATTAGTTCTAACATAATATACTCATTTTTATTTCTGAAAAAGCATAAAATAATAAAGCAAGCAATAAAAATAAAAAAAATTTAAAATACCTTTTAAAAGGTTGGTATCTTGTTTCATCATTTACTAGAGATGCCTGAAAGGGTAAAAAAAAATTTTAATTATAAAAAAACTTCAATTATAAAAATTATAAAAAAATTTTAATTACAAAAAAAGTAAAAAAAGTAAATAAACTAGTAACATATAACAAATGGTTGTCATGGTAGCAAATGGATATAAATATTTTTAACCAATACTACAATCAGGGTTGCAAAAAAATCATTTTTTTTTTTGAAAAAAAAACCAAAAACCATAGCTTTTTTAAAAAAACCAAAAAAATCATGTTTTTTTTGATTTAAATTAGATTTTTACTAAAAAATGCGGTATTTAGTTATCCTTTTAAATTAAAAAAGCATAACGTATTTTATTTGAGTAAACTATATTCTTTATCAATATTATTGTTATATTTAATTAAAATTATTTAATATATCAATGTTTAATGTTCTATATATAAATATAAGCTTTGCTGCATTTTCTACCCCCAATCGGTTTCTTAACTTAAAATGAACAAGACCAAAAGTTGAAAAAATTCTGTTGATTCCAGCACTAGAAGCTGGTGCATTTAATAAACCTTCAATTTCCATTATGCTATAGTAGATTTGGCTTTTAATTTGAATAATATTGGTAACAAATTCTTGAACTCTTTATCTGCGAAATTCATGGCAGCTTCATTTTTATTTTTAGAAAGATTAGATCCAAAATATCTAGGATCTAATGTGTTTGCCAGGAAATGAGCATCACTGACAGTCTGAAGGTACCTAAATTCAACTTTTTTTTTTGTTTGATAAAATTCTACTCCATGGTTTTCTCCTTCTTGTGCGGCTGCTATATCCAATCGTAACCATTTTTTTCATCTTTTTCAAAAGAACAACTCTCTTGAGAACAAACGGCTATTTATTATTGCAAGAAATCGATGTAAAAAGGTGCTTTCTGATGCTAAACTCCATTATTCTCAGTTCACTAAATCTCGCATCTTATCGCAGAAGTTAGGCTCTAAAGACTTTTGGAAAATCTTCAACAGCATTGTTAGACATTCAAATCACTCCGGCTTCTGTTGCTAAAGTCATATCTCAATTAAACTCGTCTACAGCTTGTGGTCCAGACAACATTCCTGTCACAGTCTTGCAGAATTGTTCTCCAGAACTTTCTTCAATTCTCTCTAAACTATTTAACAAGTGTTTGACTGAGTCTTGTTTTCCTGCTTGTTTGGAAAATGGCATCTGTGGTTCCAATATTCAAAAACTCTGGAGAAAATTCTGACCCCTCCAATTATCGTCCGATCAGTCTTCTTTCTGTTATTAGCAAGGTCTTTGAGTCTTTGATCAACAAATTCCTCACATCTCATCTTGAGTCAAATAAACTACTGTCAGACAATCAATACGGTTTTCGATTCTCTCGCTCTACGGCCGACTTGCTAACTGCTGTAACTGAAAGATTTTATTGTGCATTAGATGGAGGCGGTGAGGCTAGGGCTATTGCTCTCGACATATCTAAAGCTTTCGACAAAGTTTGGCATGCTGGTCTTCTCCATAAGCTCGCTTCATATGGTGTTTCTGGGAAAGTTTTTGAGATTATCAAATCATTTCTTTCTAACCGGTTTATTAAAGTCATCCTTGACGGCCAACACTCTTCTTTATTTCCAGTAACTTCTGGGGTTCCCCAAGGTTCCATCCTGGGCCCTGTTTTGTTTCTTATCTACATAAACGATCTTCCTGACAACCTTTCATCTAAAGTAGCTCTTTTTGCTGATGACTCAACTTTATACTCCTGTCTTGACAAAAAGTCTTCTCTTTTCGATCGCCTAGAACAAGCAGCTGATCTTGAATCCGATCTCACTTCAGTAATAGATTGGGGTTCACAGTGGCTTGTGAATTTCAACTCTAAAAAAACCTAGTTGCTTACTGCAAACAACTACCGTAATATGGTCAACATTCCTATATTAATGAATGGCAATCCTCTTACTGAGTCCTCCTCTTTACGTCTACTTGGATTATCGCTTACTACTGACCTTTCATGGAAACCATATATACAATCGATTGCTAAATTAGCTTCTGCTAAGGTTGCTTCTTTTTATCGTGCTCGCCATTTCCTTACTTTTGATTCCATTCTCTACCTCTACAAATCTCTTATTCGTCCCTGTATGGAATACTGTTGTCATATTTGGGCTGGTTCTTCTAACGATTCACTCTCTCTTCTTGACAAGGTCCAAAAACGCATTGTAAATGTTGTTGGACCTGGACTATCTGCTAAGCTTGAACCTCTTTCCCATCGTCGTAAAGTTGCATCTCTTTCTCTTTTCTACAGATACTATCATGGTCACTACTCGAAGGAGTTATAATCTCAAGTTCCATCAACTAAAATTCATTCTCATTTTACTCGTCATTCAGCTAAGTCTCATTCGTTTACTGTATCTGTTCCTGCATGCTCTAAAAACTTTTATTCATCTAGTTTTTTTCCCCGCACTTCAATTCTTTGGAACTCTCTCCCATCTTCATGTTTTCCTGACTCATACAACCTTAAACTTTTTAAGTCTTCTGTCAACCGTTTCCTTGCTCTATAACTCTGTTCTTTTTTTTTCCTAGTAACTCCCAACTTAATAGTGGTTGCTTGCAGCCTTGTTGGGAGTGAATGCAAATAAAAAAAAAAAAAAAAAAAAAAACCAAACTAATGTTTTTTTAAAAAGATTTGAACTTAAAACAGGAATCTAAGACAGGGTTATGCTCACAAATATAACTAATTTTTAATATAAATATATTTTTTTAAATCCATGATTTTTGTTTTTGTTTTTTTAAAAAACTTATCAATATGCTTAATCCAGGATACACTCTACCTAATAGAACTGAAATTGGAGGAGAAATATTAGATAGGGTTTACACAGAAGAAATTGAAAAATGTAATGTATTGAATGGGAAAATTGTAGCCATGTCTTTAGATTGCTGGAGTAATGTACATAATGAACCTATAGTTTGTATCTCTGTAATTACAGATAAAATTAACATTTTAGTAGAAATAATCAACACTTCTGGTCATTCACATACTGGTGAATATCTTACACAATTAGCAAGAGAAGCAATAGATTTTGTAAAACGTAAATTTGGATGCACAGTAAAAAGCTTTGTGACTGACAATGCAGCTAATGTGAAATCAATGAGACAATTATTGTCATCTGAAAAAGATATTATCATAACTTATGGGTGTGCCGCCCATATGCTGAATCTTTTAGCAAATGATCTTAGCAAATGTGAGCAAGCATGTTACACAAATAATAAAATATATAAGAAATAATCTTCAAGCTGGAGCAATTTATAAATTAAGCAGAGGAACAAAATTGCCACTTCCTACTGAAACTCACTTGAATTCTGTATGTGATTCACTTGAAAAATATGTCAACAACTGGAGCATTATTATTACAATGTTTGAAAAAAATAAAGACTTGGATCCCATGATTGGTAAAAAAGTAAGTGATATACAGATAAAGCGAAACACAGAAGATTTATTGAAAATATTGAAACCAATTGCAATAGCTCTAGATAAGTTGCAAAGAGATAAAACAAAAATAAGTAACTCTTGAAATTTTTAAAGATTTGATGAACAGTTTATCATTTTTTTTTTTTTTTTTTATTTGCATTCACTCCCAACAAGGCTGCAAGCAACCACTATTAAGTTGGGAGTTACTAGGAAAAAAAAAGAACAGAGTTATAGAGCAAGGAAACGGTTGACAGAAGACTTAAAAAGTTTAAGGTTGTATGAGTCAGGAAAACATGAAGATGGGAGAGAGTTCCAAAGAATTGAAGTGCGGGGAAAAAAACTAGATGAATAAAAGTTTTTAGAGCATGCAGGAACAGATACAGTAAACGAATGAGACTTAGCTGAATGACGAGTAAAATGAGAATGAATTTTAGTTGATGGAACTTGAGATTATAACTCCTTCGAGTAGTGACCATGATAGTATCTGTAGAAAAGAGAAAGAGATGCAACTTTACGACGATGGGAAAGAGGTTCAAGCTTAGCAGATAGTCCAGGTCCAACAACATTTACAATGCGTTTTTGGACCTTGTCAAGAAGAGAGAGTGAATCGTTAGAAGAACCAGCCCAAATATGACAACAGTATTCCATACAGGGACGAATAAGAGATTTGTAGAGGTAGAGAATGGAATCAAAAGTAAGGAAATGGTGAGCACGATAAAAAGAAGCAACCTTAGCAGAAGCTAATTTAGCAATCGATTGTATATATGGTTTCCATGAAAGGTCAGTAGTAAGCGATAATCCAAGTAGACGTAAAGAGGAGGACTCAGTAAGAGGATTGCCATTCATTAATATAGGAATGTTGACCATATTACGGTAGTTGTTTGCAGTAAGCAACTAGGTTTTTTTAGAGTTGAAATTCACAAGCCACTGTGAACCCCAATCTATTACTGAAGTGAGATCGGATTCAAGATCAGCTGCTTGTTCTAGGCGATCGAAAAGAGAAGACTTTTTGTCAAGACAGGAGTATAAAGTTGAGTCATCAGCAAAAAGAGCTACTTTAGATGAAAGGTTGTCAGGAAGATCGTTTATGTAGATAAGAAACAAAACAGGGCCCAGGATGGAACCTTGGGGAACCCCAGAAGTTACTGGAAATAAAGAAGAGTGTTGGCCGTCAAGGATGACTTTAATAAACCGGTTAGAAAGAAATGATTTGATAATCTCAAAAACTTTCCCAGAAACACCATATGAAGCGAGCTTATGGAGAAGACCAGCATGCCAAACTTTGTCGAAAGCTTTAGATATGTCGAGAGCAATAGCCCTAGCCTCACCGCCTCCATCTAATGCACAATAAAATCTTTCAGTTACAGCAGTTAGCAAGTCGGCCGTAGAGCGAGAGAATCGAAAACCGTATTGATTGTCTGACAGTAGTTTATTTGACTCAAGATGAGATGTGAGGAATTTGTTGATCAAAGACTCAAAGACCTTGCTAATAACAGAAAGAAGACTGATCGGACGATAATTGGAGGGGTCAGAATTTTCTCCAGAGTTTTTGAATATTGGAACCACAGATGCCATTTTCCAAACAAGCAGGAAAACAAGACTCAGTCAAACACTTGTTAAATAGTTTAGAGAGAATTGAAGAAAGTTCTGGAGAACAATTCTGCAAGACTGTGACAGGAATGTTGTCTGGACCACAAGCTGTAGACGAGTTTAATTGAGATATGACTTTAGCAACAGAAGCCGGAGTGATTTGAATGTCTAACAATGCTGTTGAAGATTTTCCAAAAGTCTTTAGAGCCTAACTTCTGCGATAAGATGCGAGATTTAGTGAACTGAGAATAATGGAGTTTAGCATCAGAAAGCACCTTTTTACATCGATTTCTTGCAATAATAAATAGCCGTTTGTTCTCAAGAGAGTTGTTCTTTTGAAAAAGATGAAAAAAATGGTTACGATTGGATATAGCAGCCGCACAAGAAGGAGAAAACCATGGAGTAGAATGAGGCTTGACTTGAAACCGACAAGAAGGAATAAAAGCTTCCATTCCAGCCTGAATCCAGGAGGTTACGTAGGAGGCACATTTGTCAGCTGAGAGAGAAAAAACATCAGTCCAAAGACCATCACGAAGAAAATCACGAAAGGAATCCCAGTCAGCTTTAGGGTAGTAGTAGGTGGTGCGATGATAAGGTGAGCCCAAAAAAGAAGCACGAGAAGAAAGATTTATAGAGATCATTGCATGGTCATGGTTTTCATTTTTTATTCATTCATGGTTTAAACCATTTCATTCATGGTTTAAACCATTTAGTTATTTTTTGGTTTAAACCATTTGGTTATTATTTTGACATCTTAATAGTATGATAAAATTTATATACAAATTTGAAAATACATCATGTACGGTAACATACTATTTATTTAACTATTAAAATTTTTTAATTTTAAATGTGATATTTCGGCTCATATAGTTGGAGCCATTTTCAAACTAAAATACGTTACAAAAAACTCATTATTTACAAAAATGATGTCATTGCTGCGTAATATTATAAAAGTTTTTCTTAAATTTAACAAAAAATGGTTTCCAATGGTGAGTCGTCACTAGGTTGCCATTATCTTGGTTTAGAATTTTATTTTTTAGATAACAATATTGTAATCTGTCTATTTCAATTGCCTCCCTAATTTTTCTCGTATAATTATTTGGGATGACTGAAAGTGTTTTTTGATTATTCCAATTAATTATACCTTTGCAATGTTGTTTTAGATAACTATTGAAATATATATATATATATATATATATATACATATATATGGCAAGTTCAAAATAATATTTTATTAATTGAAGTATGACATATGACACATTCTATTTCTTAATAGTAACTAATTGAAGAGTTCTACATTGTTATTTTAAACACAACTTTTTACATTTGTACTTTTTACACAGATATATATATATATATATATATATATATATATATATATATATATATATATATATATATATATCTGTGTGTGTGTGTGTGTGTGTGTGTGTGTGTGTGTGTGTGTGTGTGTGTGTGTGTGTGTGTATGTATTAAAATACTTAAATATATACTTAATAAAAAAAAAAAAAAAAACATTTTTAATAAAACATTTAGTAGGTTTCCATTTCAATTTTATTCAATACTAATTTTTATTAAAAACAACTTTTAATCAACTTACCGCGGGTGTCATTATAATACCAATGCCATCTCTACTGCCATTATGAACTGAAATATTATATATATATATATATATATATATATATATATATATATATATATATATATATATATATATATATATATATATATATATATATATATATATATATATATAAATATATAAATATATAAATATATAAATATATGAATATATATATATATATATATATATATATATATATATATATATATATATATATATATATATATATATATATATATATATATATATATATATAAATATATCAGTGGTGTCAGTGGTGTACACTGGATTTTTAGATGTATGAGTTTTGACACTTACACATATTTTGCAAACTCCAAACTTTTGTATGTTCATACTTATGTCAAATGAGAATGTTTTGCAAAAAGTTGTGGTGATTGGAGCTTAGGGACAAAAAAAACCCCAAATTTTTGGGCCCACCCAGCCCTTAACGTGGGAGCAACAAGTTGACAAAATAATTTCTTTAGTATTTTTATTTAAGTTTATATTCATCAACGAATTTCAAATTTCATGCAATAACCTCTTAGCTTTTAGTTTTTATTACCCTACAAAGTTTACAGCCCCTTCAAATTGAGGGGGGTTAAAACTTTATATGATCATAATTTTCAAAAAATAAGAAATTATTGGATGAAATTTGAAATTTGTTGATGAATATAAACTTAAATAAAAATAACTTAAATAAACTTAAATAAAAATAACTTTTTGAAAAACATTCTCATTTGGCATAAGTATGCACATACAAAAGTTTGGAGTTTGCACAATACCTGTGTGTCAAAACTCAAACATCTTAAAGTCCAGTGTACACCACTGATATATATATATATATATATATATATATATATATATATATATATATATATATATATATATATATATATATATATATATATATGTATTTACAATTTTTTTCTTATGTTATATTTTTAAATTTTTTTCTTATGTTATATTTTTAATAGTATATAAGAAAGGTTAAAATAATATATTATTTTGAATAAATAAACAAAAATTAAATAAGGAAACATGAGAGATTTGTTTGTTTATTTATTAAAACGATAAGTGTCATTATAACTACAGACCAAGCATTCATCTAAGTAAGAAATAAAAATAAACTGGTTTCAACTGATTTGGGTTCATACTCTTTTATCGGAGTACTGAAATTAATGACCTGGCCTCCCTTAGAGTCCAGATTTGAATATAATAGAGCATATTTGGGATGATCTGGACCGAAAAAAGGTCAAATATGCTTCCTGAAATGCTGAAGAATGTTTTGAATTACTTTAAAGATAATCGCACAAAATATCCCAGGATTTTATAACTAATTTTTATGAATTGAATCCCCGGCGAATATCGGCTGTGATTGAGGCAAAAGGAGGACATAGTAGATATTAAGAGTTTTTTATGTTTGACCTTTTTTTTTTCAACATCTTTGCTTCCAACAAGACTGCAAGCAACCACTATTAGAATTGGAAGTTACTGGGAGAGAAAAGATGAAGTTTATAGAGCAAGATAACGATTGACAGACAACTTAAAAGATTGCAAATTGATTGCAGAAGTAAGATCCTTTTCAAGCTCAAATGCCCCCTCAAGCAATCAGGAAGTGTTGGCTTCTTATCAAGACAAGAATAAATGGTAGCATCATTAGCAAACAATGCCACCTAAAATGTGAGAATATTTGGAAAATCGTTAATGTAAAAAGAAAATTTTTGTATTTCTCACAAAACATTTTTGTATTTCACACGAAATATGTAACAATAACAAAATTTGTTATTGTTACACATTTTGTGTGAAATACATGTGTTTTAATAAGTTTATAATATAGAACTACAAACTTAAAAATTAGAGAATTCTCCAGGATTTTTTGAAAGTGTCTAAAACATATTTACAGTACTGTATATACATATATATATAGATATTTATCTATTTATTTAGAGAGAGAGACACACACACATATATACAAAAACACGTAGGTTGTTTAAAGAATACCATTATGAACTTTCTGGTTCATATATCATTTCAAAAAAAAATTTTTTTTTTTTAAAAATAACTACTCCCAATCCTGTCTCTGACTATTTGAATCCTGCCCCTCACTATTTGAATACATATAGTGGGGAAATCATATATAAACTTTTTCAAAATACCATATACAAAATACAGTTCTTTTTTGTATCCTTTTATATCTGTTTTTAGAATATATTTGACTTTTTTACACATAATGACAGCAATGGTTACTCCCATTTTTTTGAAAACATCAAAAACATGCACAAAATATTCAACTTGTTTTAATAACACAAGCGCTATCTTGTAAAAAATTTTAACAAGTTGTACTTGCGACCCTAAATAAATATTTACTTATTACATAACTCTTTGTTAGATAATTATCTATTTCAGAGTTTTTATTCCTGTGATATTACCAAGGGTAATTAACGAAAAGATGTGTAAAAACCTTTTTGTTTGCATTAATTGGGCAACCAATAACAGTAACAATAAATATAAATTTTGATTATAAATTTACTATTAAACATTTTAACCATCAAAATTGAAACTGAATTTTTTACAAAATTTTATTTAACCCTTTAATACAATTTATATTAAATAAAGTTACAATTAATATTAAATAAAGTTTTAGACTTTACAAAAAAATACTGTCAAATATACATATTCAAATATACTGATTCATATAATTTGCAATATTTTAAGTCGTCTGTCAATCGTTATCTTGCTCTACAATCTTCATCTTTTCTCTTCCAGTAACTTCCAACACTAATTAGTGGTTGCTTGCAACCTTGTTGGAAGCGAAGATAATTAAAAAAATAAAAAAAATAAAAAAATATAAATACCTTACCTTTTACCTTATATAACCTTAATATAATTACTTCATCAAGTAATAACATTAAAGTACAAAACTAATTTATAGCTGTAATAAAATATTAAATATTAAAAAATTTTATTTCAATTTTTGCATCTATAAACCTCTTATTTTTCCATTTATGGAATACTGTTCCTGTATATATTTTTTAATGTTATTCACCTCCCCAAGGCCAAGAAGGCCAACACAATCGTAGAGGCTACTTTTTTCTAATGAGGACCACTCTTTTTTAGTTAAGGTTTAAAAAAGAAACTGTTGTTATGTTTTTAGACTATTTCATAATCTGCTCTAACTGCTAAGCTTGAGCCTCTGTACCTGTTGTAAAGTTCTCACTTGCTATGCTAACTGTGACAAATACTATCATGGTAACTGCTTAAGCGAGCTATCATTACTTTATATGTAATGGTAGCTTGCTCAAATCTTGTTTTTATAACTGAAGTAATCAACTTCATTAATTAATTCAGTTGTAAAAAAAAAATCTACAGAGTTAACACACTAGTTGTAGGCCAATTATTGCTTGATTTTCTCTTTAATAGAACCTTATACCAAATGGATGGGACTAATTAATTCTCTTATCTTATGTAAAAAAGCAAATCATACTCTAAAAACAGATGTAAAAAGAATACATTAACAACTTTGCAAAAATTTCAAAATATTTTTGACCTGCCTTCCCATCCCCATATCTATACAAATTTAAAATTTTTGTATTTTCAGACCCCTGGCATGGGGGCAATTATTAGAAATTCTAAAACTATATATCAAATGAAAAAATATATATTTACTATAGCGTGTTTAGATAAATCAAATATATATATCTACTATATAACGTGTTTAGATAAATCAAAAAAATATATATCTACTATAGCGTGTTAAGATATCAAACAAAGCTAGTAAGCAACTAGCTTACTAGCTTTGCTTGAAGCCCCTAGCAGCAGGTTATTTCAGTGTGACATTACAGTGCTTATTTAAACATGCATTTATAATTGTATATGTATGTATGTATACATATATATATATCTATATATGTATGTATGTATGTATGTATATATATACACACATATATATGTATATATACATTGTGTATTATATATATATATAAACATATATATGTACAAACATATATATATATATATATATATATATATATATATATATATATATATATATATTTATATATATATATATGTATGTATGTACAAGCATATATATATGTATATATATATATATATATATATATATATATATATATATATATATATATATATATATATATATATATATATATATATATATAGTGTAGTGGTAGAGCGCTTGCCTTATAAGCACAAAATTCTGAATTTGATTCCCATTATGTCCCTGGTAGTACCATACTTAACTTGTTTCTCCATGCAGCAGTCTTGTTCGTCAAGGTTATGTATGTATATATGTATGTATGTAACAGATTTTATATATACATAAAATCCCTTATAAAAATTTATAAAAATGTAAATTTAACAAAGTAAGATAAAAGTACTCAAGTTTGGTTCACTGCTGCTTCCTTTGTTGAACAATTCCTTTGAATTCTTTCGTTTGCATGTAAAACTTCTGTTTGACAAAGATTCTGAACACACTGATTCTGGGGAGTGAACGCTTCCGTTTGCTTAAAAGATACAGATAAGAATAAATGCTGTAATAAATAATGGATTGCAATGAGTGGACTAATAAATGAATAGATTAAAATAAATGCTAAAAATAAATAGAAAAAATAAATGCTCTGACGAATGAGTTTCAAATAAATATTTGTAGGTAAATTGGTAAATTTGTAGGTAAAAAAATAATAAAAAAAAGCTCACATTTTGGAGTTAATAATTGAAGAGTACTTGCATTATCAAGTTGTTGACGCAATACTTCATTCTCCTAAATATAAGAAAAAAATGATGTCAAGGTGCGACAAATAGTTTTTTGTTAATGAACGTTGACGCTCGTACTTTTATTTATTGGCAAAAGTCTAGCTTAAGAGATATAAAAGCTTTGTTTGAAAATATTCAACAAAATCAAAATTCAACAAAAATGAAAAAAAAAAGGAACAAAAATGAATAATAAAAAAAAAAATTAGTATAAAAAGCTAATATAGAATGAAAAAAATGACTCATGCAAGATTCTCACAGAGAATCCCACATGGACTTTTTATGCATGTAGGGTCAGCATGTGAATAGTTGTATCAAGATTAACATTGGCTATTTTAAAAATAAATTTCAAATTCATTTATCTTTGGGATTAGAAGAACTGATCTCACTTATCTTTGGAACCTCACTTTAGGATTAGAAGAATTGGTTTTTTGTATTTCTTTAAGTTTTGTTTTTTGTTTTTGTAAGGTAAATGTTCTATTAACTACTTCTTAAAAAACAACAAGCAAAATAAGTAAAATAATTTTATGATTTTATTTTTTATTTTACTTTTAGTCATTTGTTTAGATAATTCAATGTAATACAATGAAATGATTTCACATTAAAGTTCACCATACTTTTTTAAAATGCTAATTTTGATGCTTACTTCAAAAAAAAACATTTCTATGAAAGACTAAAAAACCATAAACCCTAGTATTCATAAGTTAACATTGTTACCATAATAAAAAAAGGATTTATAAACCAAGATAAAAGAAAATTTTTTTTTAACCTTAAACAAACGTTGAACTTGGTCTTGAATTTGCGCTATTAAGTTATCTTTTGTTTCATTTGATTGTTTAATTTCATCGAGTTGAACTTTTAAACGGTTGCATTCAGATGCTACACAAATTAAAATATATTGATTAATAATTGTAATAAAGTAAAAGTATAAAATAATAAAGAAAAGGTAAAGATTAAATTTTATATAAAAATAACATTTAAAAATAACAACATTATTGGTATCAAATGGAGTTTGATTGGTTAATCAAGGGGTAAAGGTGTTACTTTTCATGGCTTTAATTCTACAAGACCCAGGTCTGTTAAAAATAAGTTGAGTGTAAAGCTTTATAATAGATCTGTTAAACTCAAACGTGGTTAAACTTTGGTTAAAAAGAGAAGTAGAAAACTACCCAATGATTATTTTTAACAGTACCTTTACCTGTAGGAGAAGTTCATGTACCTAGGCACCGATTTTTCAATGCTCAAATTCAAAGCCTAAGACCTGTCTAAAAATGGTGAAACTGATATGATTACATCTCTATATTAACTACTTTGTATTAGTATAAGTATATTGACTTATACTATAAAAGTCTGTCATGTAGAAGGGCTAAAAAATTAGTGGCCCTAGGTACAACAAGCTTATTTTTAATTATACCTAGGGCATCTTGTTATTGTATCTAGGGCCGCTCTTAGACACATAAATTTGATTAAAAAGATATTAAATCTTAGATTATTTATATGTATATGTAATATTTTATTTTATAAAATGCAAGATACATATGTAAGATTTTATTTTATAAAATGCATAGTGGATTAAACATAATATTTTCAAATATTAAATGAAACATATTTTTCAATTTTTTTAAATTTAAAAGTTGAAACTATGGTTGCTAAAATTTTTACACAAAAAGTTATACAACTTTTTAATAACATTCCATTTTTTTATCAAATAATAACAATAACAATGAAATAAGTCATATATTTTAAATTTTATTGTATTATTATATATTTTTAATTTTATTGTATTAATATATATTTTTAATTATATTATATTTAAAATACACTATTAATTCAAAGAACAACAAAAAACAAAACAAAACAAAAAATTAATTATCATCATTTTTACTTTTTTAATGTTAATCTCTTGTTTGGTAATCACTTTTAAAAAAAAAAAAAAATCAATTGATATGATGAGCACATTACAAGTTTGCTAATGAAAAGTTGCAAAAACAGTGAATGGCTGATAAAGACAAGAGTATAGCACTTATTGATGAAGCAATAATCAAACTAAACTATGATTTGCAATATCAATTCAATATTTCCATGGCAAAAATAATTGACTAGCCTCGTATCACACTTGATGAACACCAAATTAGACTTTTAAAATATATCTATGTTAAACAAATGCCCTGTACATTAGGAAACAGTTGTATTTTGAACTATACATGCATGTGGGGATAAGCTTTTACAAAGCACAGTGGGCCAAGATAGATATCAAATGGACAAAAAATCATAATTCCTTTATTGCAGGCACCATAAACACCCTAATAAAAAAGGGTGTATAGGACAATAAGATTTTAGACCTAACTTTTGGTTGTTTTTCCAGATTCAAAACATTAATTACAATGTTTGTTACGTGCTAGACCCCTTTTTATAAACAAAGAAACATTTATTAGATATTGTATCAGAAATCAGAGTAAAAAATATACAAAAATAAAAATTAAAAAAAAGTTACTATAAAAGTTTAATACAATCTATGTTAAGCTCAAGTTCTTTAATACATCCTTTTAGTGGATCTGAATTGCACAATAATCTTTGCATAACATCTTCATTAGTGACTTTTCTTGAATATTTTCTTGTATAGTGTTCTTTATAACTTTTAACATCTTTATTTCGACATTCTTGAGCTTTCTTAGAAATAAGACCTACAGGTACTGGTTTATCTTTTACAACTTGAGAACTATATATTAGAATTTTATTTACAACACAAGGTATTACGAACCATGGGGACAGAGAAACAAAACATAAAAATATACCAAAGAAGCAGAGCTGTTTCTTTGGTAAACTTTTAAGTTCATCAGCGTTAATTTGATGTTTGCACAATAAAACACAAAGAATTACATAAAAAAGTTTCATGAGACTTTTATTGAAGCCAAGTATCTCAGCAGACACCTTATCATTACCTACCATTTTTGGTATATCTACAATTAAACCTAAGTGATCTTTCATCTTTTGTTGAACAATAATCTTTTTTTTATAACAATTTCTTTATCATCCTCTCCCTTAACTTGCCACTTGCCTAATTCAAATCTATAAATTATTTTTATAACATTTGTTTGATAATAAAGGAATTAAAGACTGTTGGTTTCAAGTTATTGTTCTTGAAGGAAATATATTCTTGTGTAATAACAGCACTTTCTTTTACATATTAAAATTGCACTGGACGGCAATAAAGTGTAGAGGATGGTTTTTCATTAGTCCATCGTGATTTGCCAGATTTCTCAATATAAAGTTTAATTAGAACGATGCAAGATAGAAATAAAAACTGTTCCTCTACATATCTGATACCTATCTTGTCTTCTGTAAATTGTTTGTATAATGATTGGCCGGTTGAGCCATAAAATCCCATTTTGTATATAAAGACAAGAATGGATTTCTCTGGAGCCTTTAGAGATTCATTGAGTACATCTTTAAAAACCTGTATGTAGTATGGTCAATAAGGCTCTGTAAATCACCTGAGGTTGAATAATCAGTAGTTTGTATTCCACAATGAGGTATGCATAATTTTTTTTCTTCCCTTTCCTTTCTTTCATTATAAGTTGGATACAATTTGTTATCTTAAAAACTGCTTCAATGCAAATTATTTGGTAGTCGGCTTCACTAAGTCTAAATTCTAAAATCAAAGCTCTCCAGTATAAATTGTTTTTGAATTAACTGCACCATCTTTCTCTAATTTTAATATTTGGTTCACAACCTTTAGTGTAAAAATGTAAATTTGAAGAGTGAGATGAATACAATCCACAAGGAACTTTTATCACCTATATAATTTTGGAGATTTTTTTTTAATAAATAAGATGAATTAAAAATGACTATAGTATAGATGTACCTTTGCACCGCTGACCCTTTTTTCCTCTTTCAAAATAATTGAGCAAAACAATTCCTCTCTTTCGACAGCAATGTTTGTTTTTTTTGTTCTTCTATTCTTTTTTTTTTCAGAAGCTTGGGTGAATGGTATGGAATATACGTCTGGTGGTATTCCACAGACAACTAATTTAAGTTAAAATATCAGATGACTGTATTCAGTATAAACACTTGCTAAAACACAACTAAATAGTAATAAACATCATTAGTCCATTACTTTAATTTTTATGAAATATTATACCTAAATTGTGAGAAGTAGGAAAAGTTAAGCCCAAGTTTTGCCCCTTGTCTAGTTTATCTGCTTCAAAACATATATTGTTTGTTTTATTCTATTTTTTGTTAAAGTGTTTAGAAAATAATTTGAAGTCTGTCAGAGATTTCTGTAATTTATAAGTATCAGGGTCGGTAACTGATTTGATTAAGTTGTTTTTCAAAGCATGAAACAATTTTTGAGTAATTTCTTTATTTTTCATAATGATTGGTAGAAAAAAAATCTAATTTAAAAATATAGTTATAATTTTTTAAAGTTTATAATTTAGAATTTATACTTAACAACAACGTGCTTTGAACAAATGAAATTGACAAACGAGTTGTATGTTTAAAACCTGCTAAACTTTAATTTGCCGAACTTTGTGCAAGATTTTTTCAATAAGAAACCTTCAATATCTATAACTCTGAAACACAAACCTTGACGAACAAGGCCACTGCGTGGAGAAACAAATTGAGCGTGGTACTACCAAGGACGTGGTGGGGATTGAACTTGGAACTTCTCGCAAGCGCTCTATCATTGCACCACTACTGTATATAAAAAATGAAAATATTTTAAAGATTTTTCATATTGTGGGGTATTTACTTTTAAAGCATAAAAAAAAAAGTTTCCACAAATTTTCGGCATTTATGCTGATCTCTGGCCCACTGTGCAAAGTTTTAAACTTACCCATAAAACAAAGTGGAGCAACGTATTATGATGAATCAAAAATTGTTTTTTATGGAGGTACAGGTTCAAGACAATATGTAAGACATCCAGATAATACAGAATTCCAGAAAAAATATACCATTAAGTCTGTAAAACATGGTGGAGCCAAAATCATGGTATGGGGATGTAGCTCATATAATGGTGTCAGCTCTATTTATAAGATTAATGGCATAATGGACCAACATATATATGTTGACATCCTCAATAATATCATGCTGCCCTATGCTAATGATTGAAGTGCCAAATGCTATTAGATTGAAGTGTCAAAATAAATATAATAATATTTTTTTAGTAATTAGTAAAAAAAATAAGCTCTATAGAATTCAAAAAATTCCAGGTACTGCTATTTTCATGCTCATAACTGTATGAATGCTAATGAAGCACATACCACATATTTAAAGTCTATTAGGATAAACATTCAATTTGAATAAAATTTTATTTTGAGTTCACACAGGCAATTAGTAAATATGTAATACTTGTCACAAAAGAAAAAGTGCAAGGGGTCTAGGAATAGATTTATCAATACCTAATATACAATTCAAAACCCCAAATTGTTTTTATAACAGAAACTCTACCCAAAAATAAAAAATTTGAAATCAATGATCACAAGTTTGCTTTCATAAAAAACCAAAACCCATCTACAATTGACCTCTTATTTACATCCGATGAAAACACAACTTCCTTTTTAAAACATTTAGTACCCATAGACAAAAGCTAAATTATACAAAACCTTTATACACAAAAGGGAACTATGATAAAATTAAAAAAGACCTTGCAACTATTAAACTCTGTCATCCAACTCTAAACAACTATGGAATATCTTTTACAATAAGCTTAAAACTAGTATCAACAGCAATATACAAAAAAAAAAAAAAAAAAATCAAAAACATAAAATGCTCAAAATAAATATCTAAAATATATAAAAAATAAACAGACATTATGTACCATTCCAAGGCAATAATAATAGTAAAAAAATTCAGTTATTTAAAATTATTTACTCAGTTATTTACTTAAAAAGAAAATTAAAATTCTTGTAAAAAAATGTTTTTTTTTTTTTGAACAAAAAAACTTTTTTTTTAAAGAACAATCATGAAGATCAATACATCTTTATATAGAATTCCTTCATTATCTACTACTATCATTCACCTTGATATTGTGCTTCTTTCTGCAAGTATATTTTATTCATCAGTGGCACTACATCTTTATCAATTTTGTTTTGGTTTAACAACCATTTTATAAATTTCAACAAATGTACCTTTACTTGTTTTTTTTTGTTTTACAAAGGTAGAGGAAACTGAATAGGTTATATGGCTGTGATGATGTTTATTGTAGAATAACCAAGTACTGAAAAAGTAATTTGATGAAAACTTTGGATGATTAACCAGTTTTTATTTCATTTCAGTTCTGCCATTAAATCTTTTGACAAACTCTTTTTTTTACATAATTTTTCATATAGGCTGAAAAATTTTCCAATACACTTTTTTTTAATACACAGCCAATACTTTGAAACCATGAAGAAAACGGAACATAAGATGATTTAGAGAATAATGTAACATGCATAAATTCATCAACTACAATAGTTATTTTAACTTCTAAAATTCTTAAGTGTTGATTAATTTCTAATTTAAAAATATATATTAGTTATTGTATACTTTGAGCTGATATTCTACAACATTTAAATTATTAAAACATTGAAATCTTTATTAAAAATACACTGCATTCATCCTTATTATTTAAAAATACACTGCATTCATCCTTATTATTTAAAAAATGATTCAGCAAGCAAAGCCCATGGTTCACAATATATTTTTTAAAAGTTAAAATTTTTTAATCTCATAAAAAAAAGACACCTTTTTCTCGTAATCGACTTTTTAAACCAGTTAAATTGTCATCGTTACCTAAATAATAAAATTTTTAGACATGAATTAATAAAATTTAAAAAATTTGAATATTTTATTATAAAAAGTTATTGATGATAAAAAGTTGAAATCATAATAATCTCTCTATACAAATGTTTTCATAAGCACAATGGAATTTTTTTAAGATGAAATTTTAACACCGAAAAATGATTTATAAACTACTATTGTAAAATGAAAAGTAAAATCTAAAAAAAGTGAATCGAGTTCTTTTTAAATATAATTTCATGAGTAAAAAAATTTTCATGAGTGCTAAAATGTTGAGAATAAAAATTAGATTCTTAAAAAAAAATTAAATTACAAAACACACGCTTTAGTGAAACAACAAAAATAACTACAGCTACAACAAGAGCAACAATAATACTAATAATAATAACAATAATAAAATTCAGAGCTAAATACTGTCAATTAATACGATCAATTAATAGAAACTAAAAGTAACAATCTTAAATACTTGAATAAGAAAATCATAATCTACAATCCTCTTTGGCTACTTTAACCACAAATTCTAAGTATTCTTTGTGAAGGATGGTGAGTTTAGGGATTACTTTTTGTAGAGAGAAAAAATAATTGCCTTTTTTATAAGAGACCATTTTTTCCCTCCATATCACCCTCAAGATCAAAAAAATAAATAAGTAATAAATAATACTTCTCTTTTTTTCTTTTTAAAAAATTTTCTTTTCTCAAAAATAATTTAAAAAGTTTGAGATGAAAAGCCAAAAGCAGAGTTGTAAACTTTTTAATATCTGCATATTGTCGAAGGAACCCACAGTTCAAATGGCACACAAAATTTTAATTAAAAAAAAAAACTTAAAAAAAAATTCACAAGCATTCACTACTTTGGCAAAATTTGTTAATTCTTTCAGAGGAAGGGAAAAAAGAAGGAAATATAGAAATAATATTTCTGCATTTCATTTTTTCCTTTCTGAGGTGTCATACAAATAGTTGAGAATATTTAAATAAAAGTTTAAAAAAAAACTCATGCAATTTACTTTTAAAAATCAAGATTTTTATATAATTTTATAAATATTAAAAATATTAATTATTAAATTTTTATATAAATTTCTACTATTTATATAATTTTCAAGTATAAGTATTTTGCTAGCAATGTAATTTAATATTGCTAGCAAAATTTATTTGTTTTTATTAAATTTGTATTTAAATACAAATTTAATGAAAACAAATAAATTTAATAAACATATAAATTTAAGTTTACTATCAGTTGAGCCAGTTGATTTACGTCTTTCTTGTTCATCTAACAAAGTTTCAATGTGATTTTTTAAACGTTCCATTTCGGTGTCTTTTTCATCTTCAATAAGTAAGAACTTGTTGTAATTAAGCTAGAAAAAAGTTTATAAACATTGCTTTTACACGTTTATTATATAATTTACTATAATTAATTTCAAGGCCAGAAAGCCATTCAAGTCAAGAAGGCAGTAATTTAATAAAATTGCACTCTCAACTCAAAGAGTAGCAATTCCAAAACATAAACACTGATAGACAGGGCTGTTAATGACAGACAAATTACAAAAATATATTAACTCTTTTGAAAGTAATGTACAAATATTTTCTAAAACATTTAGATCAAAGTATTTTAACTTTTCTTTATGAATGAAAAAACTAATTAGTTAAAGAATATAGCACACTTTTGTCAAATTTTAACAAATGATAAAGAATGCAGCACACTTTTGTAAAGTTTCAACAAATGATAAAGAATGTAGCACAAATTTGTAAAGTTACAACAAATGCTAAAGAATGTAGCACACTTTTGTAAAGTTTTAACAAATACTAAAGAATGTAGAACAAATTTGTAAAGTTTCAACAAATGAAAAAAATACATAAACAATTATATTGCATAAAAAAAAGTTATATAGAATAAAAAAAAAAAAAAAAACTAGGCATTTAAATTTGATTAAGTGATTATTTAAATTAAATTCAGTTTTTTGTAAATAAAAAAATATTTTTTGTCTAATATTAGCTATTATTTATCTCTTGTCTATGTATTAATTTTTTTTTACATTTATATATATATATATATATATATATATATACACATATACACACACACATATATATATGCATATCATATATCTCATTAAACATATTATCATATCATACTTCATATCACACATATATATATATATATATATATATATATATATATATATATATATATATATATATATATATATACATATATATATATATATATATATATATATATATATATATATATATATATATATATAAATATGTATACCTACATATATACATACATATATACATATAAACATACATTAATATATCTAAAAATATAATTTAAAATCACTGGCAAAATAATTGTTCAAACCAAGTTCATGCATTTCCAAACATTTGTAAATAAGTACTCACATTTTTTTTATAGACTGCAGTCATGTCATTTCAATCAATTATCTATCATACCAATAAAAAACTGACATCCAATGAGACATAAGTTTAGTCAATATGTTTTAATATACATATATATCTATACATAATATATTTTGTAATATATATATATATATATATATATATATATATATATATATATATATATATATATATATATATATATATATATTTCAAAATAAAATATGCTTATGAACCAAATTTTTTGTTTAATAAAAAATTACTTTAGAAGTTTTCATTGAATACTATGTTACAGAAGCATTTAAATTATACAAAAATCTTATCAGATAAAACAGTCATGTTGATCATTTTAATCCCATTAGTGTTTTAACAACAGAATAAAAAACAAATAACAATAGATAATATCATCAGCTTAAAGTTTTCTTTACAGTAAAAAGTAACAAGAAGGTTTTAAGTATTCTATTTGAGTATAAATCAACTTAAACTACAATATAAATAGAAAAGAAAGATTCCAGATGCTTATAAAATATTATGAGTTTAAAATCTTGAATATTATCATTTTTAACATAAATTTATGTTCTTCTTTATTTCATATATATACATATATTTATTAACATCAAATATAAATTTATCTTTTAGTAATTCTTAGAAATTCTTAAGATTCTGCACACATTCCTGGAATATTTTCTTTAAAAATTGTTAAATAAAAAAATAAAAAAAACATTCACACACAAAAAAAAAATCATTATTCATAAAATAGGAGCAATTACTGTAATAAAATGATATATTACTTAAAGTCAATAGATTTTAATAAAGATATTTAAAATTTCATGAAAAGACACAAAAAATTTTTTTAACATGTTTATAAAAAACATAATCAAGAATCTGAACACAAGTACCATTAAAATTTTGTTATTTTCAAAATCTGACATAAAAAAACAAACTTCTGTGAAAATCTATTGACTTTTTATAAATTGTTTTAAAACTTTCATTAAAACTTATCATTAACATATGGTAAATGCTAAAATGTTTTTTTGATATATATATATATATATATATATATATATATATATATATATATATATATATATATATATATATATATATATATATATATATATTTTGCAAAATGTTGAGTGTATTATTTTTTTTTCTTTTTGATTGAGCCCTTATATATAAAACTTGCAACTTTATTGTAAACTAATGAGGTGGTTGTAATTCAACTTTTTTGACCTGCTAATCCTGATAATTATTATATTTCTATAATTTATAACAAAGAGTGATTCAAGATAACTGTTCATGTTTGTTAAAGTTCCAAATTGTAGATTTTAACCACTCAAAATGCACAAAAAAAAAGTTTTGAATATTTGTACCCAATGAAAAAAATGATTTAAATTTATTTACCTGATGAAAAAGTTGATTTAAATTTATGCATTCAATGAAAAAGGTTTTAACAAATAAAAAAATTTTATAAAAAAGATTTTTTGTTTACCTTAATTTAATAAAATTTATAAACAATAAACATTTTGTTAAACGTTTTGTTTTTTTTGTTGAGAGGAGAGAAAGAAAAAAATTCTGATTGTATTATAATTTAATGTTTGTCTTTATTTATCATAATACTTGTGCTAGTAAACTATTTGTTAATTTAGTTGTCATAAGCAACAACACATCAACTGGCAGTTAGGGTAGAGATAATATAATTCCAATGTGGAAAAAGTTTAAATAAAACACCACATAACCATATAACCATATTAGTTTTTATTTAATAAATTTTGGTAATATGCTCAGGCAATGACAATTTTCAATGACAATTTTTAAGTGTTGTTATCCAAATTTTGCTTAAATTTATAAATATCAGTTTTATTTTTTGAAGAAAAAATAAATAAATTTTAATACATAATACATTGTTGTGTTTGGATGTGTGAATTTATTGGGTATGTTTTATAATGGCAATTATCATTTCTCTATTAGAAACAGCAAAATTTGAGGTCTTTTATCTTTATTTAAGTAATAAATAAAGATAAAATTGACATTAAAATTGAAATTTGAAGCAGTTTTTGATGTTAAATGAAAAGCCAAATAAAAATTGAGAAATGGAAAGGCCACAACTAATTGTTTAACAAAGTTGAACATCACATGATACTGAAATATACTACTATAGAATATAAAAATGAATAACTATATTTTATCAATCAAAATTTTTTACTAAGTATGACAAATATAAGAGAAGACCACCCAAAAGTATAAGAGAAGACCACCCAAAAATATAAGAGAAGACCACCCAAAAGGCATAGTTAATGGCTGTTACTCAGTGAAACAAAGATGTCAAAATCTGATTTATTTTGGGCTAGAGAAGCTAACATTTTTATTGAGACATATAAAAGAGATGCAGATGTATGAGAAAATAAAAGAATGTAAAAGAATAGGAAACAGAAGTTAGTAGGTGACCAGTTTGTGGTTGGTTACAAGTAGTTTGTGATCTTTTAGAAAAACTATTGGTAGTTAGATAAAGAGTCGGGACAACCAAGTTTGTGAAGAGATATTTGTACTTTAAGAAGTCTATTGCAACTTTCCACCTATAAGTTGGAAAGTTGCAATCCAGGTTGTGATGATAGGGCTGTGTATGACAATGAGATTTGCTTGACAGTGAGGGTGTGCATGACAACCATGTTGTGTTTGATGCAAGTTCTTTGGCGACTTGAGCTTTTATGTAAATTAATGAAACTACTGAGAATAATGCAACATGGCTGCCAACAGAAATGTTTAATATTCAGATAAACATACTGTGATGCAAAAAACTAAAAAAAAAGAAAACTATTTATACAGATTATGAGAGTATTCTGTGTTTTAACACCCTTGTTGAAAAATGGAGGATGAAGTCAAAAGTGACAAGTGAAGATTTGAAGAAAGAAAAGCATGTATTAACTAATTGAAGAATTCTTGATAATCTTGTTCTTTCAAAAGATACTTTAGCAGACACATTAACAAAAGTTCATAGCAGATGGTTAAATAAGATGATTGTGTTTAAGCATCTCAAAAATTGATTTGGAGTTGCAGTTGCTGTAGCCAAATAAATACCCATATATATAAACAAACTGGACACTTAAATCAAACATTTATCTTTCTTTTCTGAAATGTATCAAAAAATTGAAAACTGTGCCAGTCAATAGACCCAGCAACTGTATAGTGGGTGAAAATGAGTGTTTAGGAAAATTGTGATCATAGATATCTTTTCATTTTCAGTTTTTACAACTTTTAATACATCTCAAAATTTGAAAAAAATTTAATTAAAAAAAAGCAAAAAATGTCTTTTTTTATTTTAAAAACTTAATCTTTTCTAATTTAAAAATAAAAGTTTAAAACTATTAAAAAAAAAAAAAGACAAAATATAAATACCTGCTGGTTGGTTTGTTCTTTTTGATCTGCAATTCTACGCTCAGTTAATCGAATAACTAACTCTTCATTTTTACGAGCATAGTCAGATAGTGTTTTTTTTGTTTTGGTAAGCTGAGATTCAGTTAAAACAATTTGTTCATGCAACCTTTTTAATTCATTAAGATACATTTGGTTATCCTGTTCTAGTTTATGGATAACTACATTTGTATCCTTGTTATTACTGGACAGCACCTGAGAGTAAAAAAATTTCACTTTAAAATAAAGTTTTTTTAGAATTTTAGAGTAAAGAGTTAACATTAAAAAAATATATATCATATTAGTAATGGAAGAAAAAATAGATAAAAAAAATCATTAGAACATATTATTTAAAAAATAATCCTTTAAACAAAAATTATCCTTTATCTTGGTATGAAAAATCATTTAATCTTAAAAAAAATTTAACAACTGAATAAATAATAACAATTAAAATTTTTTATAATTTATTATATAATTAATACTTCACTTCATATTAATAATAGTAAACAATTTAATAATAGTAAATAAAAAAAAACTTTTTAACAAAAGCCATGAAATTTTATATCACTAAAAGTAAACAAAAGAGCATTGAACTGCCTAAAAATTTTTTTGAGCCAACCTTTTGTTATTTGAATATTTTTTAAAAAATTACTTCTTATTATGTTGTGTTTATGGTTGCCATTGTCCTCTTTTTTCTGTAAGAGATGGCACCAAACTTATTTAAATTTTCATCGCATTCTCCTATATAAAAAAAAAGGACTAAGGCAACCTTAGTTATATTAATAAATTTAATTTTTAGAATTTAGCAGTCCAAAAATTGAAGCTTGATGCCAATTTACAATTGCAGATTTTTTGATGCAGATTAATTGCTTGAAGTGCAGTTAAACTTGGAGTCTGACAAATGAGTTAAAATTGAATTTAAGAATATCTTAAAAATACAACATTTTGTTTTGAAAAGTAGTCTTGATCATGTGAATTAATTTCCAAGAACACCTTACTTCCAAGATACATTCAATTTTAATGCCAAATTAATTTTGAAGAACCTGTGATTTTGGTGATCATCCATATTTATTCTTCAAGCCAGCTTCGACATCACATGACGACACTGATAAAGCAACCATTATGAATTGAGGAAAAACAAATAGAATTTCTTAGTAAAGCAGTGCAGCAAAAAAGTGATGAAACCTGAAGTAAAAATATAAATAGAGCTTCAATAATAGTTGAAATACAACTTACTTTTTAAGTAAAAGTTTTATTAAAACCATAATAAAAGTAAAATTTATAATAAAAGGTTTTACCATAACTTGAGATTAGATATAAACACATACCAAGTAATGCCAACTTTTCATTATATCTTTTTTTAGATGTTGCTTCCAGCTTTTCCAAAGACTCATAAATGTCATGATGATGAAAATAAATAAATAATTGCAATGTTGGCTGTATTTGAAGACACTGTTAGCACAATGATTGTTTTGATTTGCTTTTCCCTAATTCATAATGTTTTCCAATTGCAATTTTAATTACATGACTTTCTGATTTGAAGAATTAGTTACATCTATATTATTATCAATAAAATAAACTTTTATTTTGTGGAAAAATACATTACTTAATAAAAATTCTGACATACTACTTGTGATAATGAGAAATTTATTTTGTCATCTGAAACTATTTCTCTGAGATAAGCAGGATTGACTGAATTAATTTGCATGACTTCTGAAACGACAGACACTTTTTATAACTGAAGATTTTATAGCAAAAAGAAAAAAAAAATTTTAGGATATAAAAAAAAATTAATAAAGAAAAAATAAAATTGAAAAGCATAAAAAAATTGAAAAGCAAAACAAAACAAAAGCATTAAAGAAAAGAAGAAGAAAAAACATTTAAATATGAAAAGAACTTTAATTAACAAAAAAAACTTTTCTTAAATAATAAAAAAAATATTTCATTATATTTTAAAAGTGTTCAACCATTTTTTTTTTTTTTGGGTATATTTTTTCATGTTTCATCTGTTTTTCATTGCTTTTGTTATGCATAACTAGTAGTCTTCGAATTTCTCCTTGATCTTCTTTAAAAAATAGAGACCATTCCAAAAATTATGCCTTCATTATAATCTCCTGAATTCAGACAGGTATGAAAGCTTTATTACTTGTTGTCTGTTTTAAGTTAAGCCTCACTCTACCACATGGTTTTCTCCTTCTTATGCAGCTATTATTTGGAATCGTAATTATTTCTTTTATCATTTTCCAAGAATAACTCTCTAGAAAATATCTTTTAGTATTGCAAGAAATAGATGCAAAAAAGTATTGTCTGACACTAAGTTCATTACTGTTGAACTAAATATTAAATTTTATCTCTAGAAGTTAGGTTCTTGAGACTTTTGGAAAAAGAATTAAAAGAAATTTTTTTCCTATAATTAATCTTTTGAATTTAATGACCACAATCTTCCTATTTCCTAAACAGGTTAACCCATTGTTAGACATCCAAATCACTTGATCCTTATCACCATTGATAAAGTTATTTCTCACTTTCACTCCTCTGCAGCTATATTCTTGATACTGTTTTCCATAATCGTTGACCCTTCTAACTATTACCTAATAAGTCTTCTTAATTTTATTCGCAAAGTTTTTGAATCTTTAAAAAACTTCTAATATCTCATCTTGAGTCTAAAAACATTTTCTGACATACAAGTTTTAATCCACAATCTACTGTTGGCTTGTTGCCATAATTACAAAAAGGTTCTTTTGTGCATTAGATGAAAGCAATGAGGCAAGAGACATTACTCTTGATATATCAAAGGCATTCCATAATATCTGGCATTCTCCATAATATCTAGCCTTCTCCATAAACATGCTTTATATGGTGTATCTTGGTAGGTTTTTAAAATTACAAAACAACACCATCCTATAGTATTAAAGTTATCCTGGAAGGATAATATTTTACTTTGTTTTCAGTAAAATCTAAGATAATATAAGGTAGTATCCTTGGTCCTGTGAAAATTTTTTTGTTAAGACTGCTGTTTTTGTTCAATCCCAATATATAGACTATTTTCTGTCTTCAGGAAAGCAACAAAAAAATATTAGATTTTGCACTGCAATCTCTTTTGTAAAAGAAAGATGTTCATTACCCTATCTTTATATTCTCGCACTTTCTAAAAACAAGTGAGTATTCAATTTTTTTGATTGTTATAATGGTAAGATGCACAATTCCTTAAAAATTCAAAAAAAATTTGATTCTTTTAATAAAGTTTTTTTTGTAAAGTTCACAACATTTACTTAATTATATTTTATATTTTACTTATTTTCAACTCCTAACTGCTTTTAAAAGTTATAAACAATAAGTAATAGTATAATATTAGCTGTTATTTTTAATATATTATTATTAAAACTATATTACTTATTATTAATCTCATTGAATAAAAAAGAAATGATTTTACTTCGAACCACCCTACAATACTCCCATAATTTAAAAAAATTAAATCAATTGATATATTTCTTTATTTAAACTTTCAAGATCAAATAAAAAATAGATACATGGTTTTTTAAATTTACGTAATGTGAGGTCTATAAACGTTATAAAAATTAAAATTTTACCGAACTCATTTCATTGAGAAAAGCAAATGTACATCGCAAAGATTTTAAGTGTTCAAGGATTCCCCTTTTGTTTATAATAGTACTTATTCCCGACTCATTTATAGAATTGGAAAGTAAAAGTTCTAACTCATCAAAAATTTTAATAAGATTTTCATCGTTTTTATTATGAGTTAATTTTGAAGATTTTGGTGTCGATGTTGGTAAATTATTAATTTTAAAGGAAGGAGTTATGCCGACAATGTTTTCGCGAAAAATGCTATCCATTTCTTCAAGAGCTCTTTCTAACATAAAAGCAGCATCCCCACCAACAGCTGACATTTTTTTAACTTTGAAATTACAACAATTATAATTTTTTGTTCTCAATGGCAAGTTGTATTTAATATTCCAATATTAGATTACATTTTCCGAATCACATATTTATAATAACATAACACCATTTCTGGTCTCAATCACTCGGACAGGATTTTAGAGCGTAATGTATTTTTTACACTGCGATTTAAAATATTCATTTTGATTTTTTATTTACAATTAAATTATATCTTTTTTTATTTTAAATACAAATTTACTCGACTTTTTTTAATCTCATTAAAAACCAACGAAATATTTTTTATGCTATTAAAATATCCTAAATGCAAACTAAGACAACAGACTGTTTATTTGGTATTGATGCTCCTCTTGAAATCTATTTATCTATTTAGGTTATCTAGAATTTATTTATTTAGAAATCTATTTTCTGCTTACAAATTAATGCCAATTTACTAATATATCTGGAGGCTTAGATATTTGGCGCCAAGAGACAAATTTTACACTTGTATTTTACCCTCCACTCCAAATTTAAAATATAATTCTCTTGTTGTACGGTTATTTAAAATATTTTAATAATACGATGAATAATGGGGTATGATAATCATCAACCGATTTGTATATAAATATATTTTATTGATGCAATTCAATGAAATTGAATTTCATTAAATTTACGAGATATGCTTAAATAAACAAATTAAAAATTAATGGAATAAAAACGCGTTATCTTTTCTAATTTTTTTATAGAATTTCGAGGACGAAATTATACAAGTTACAAAAAACTGAAATTTTTGCAACATTAAAAATTAAAATTTTTAATGTAGCAAAAATTTTAGTTTTTTATTGCTAAAATATTAAATGCTATCTTTGTTTCAATTATTAAACTTATACTTTATTAAATTTAAGATAAAATTTATATATATATATATATTTTTAAAATGTTTGTTTTTTAATATTAAATGTAAATTTCAACTTTAATAGCTGTATTCTTAAAACAAAAAATATAAAGATAAAACCAATTGGATTATCTGGATAATTATACAATCAATTAAAAGATTTTAAAAAAAAGAAAAAAAGAAAAATCGTGGTTTATAATTGCAATTTTGAAAATTAAAAAAAAAGATTTGTGGATTTAAACTTTTAGCTGGTAAACTTTTAACTTGTCTCCATTAAATTGTCTTACATTTCAAAGTTTTTGATGTTATAGGTTTCAAGAAGAAGAAGAAAGATGAAAAAGAAGCCTCTATCGCATTAGTTTCCTTGGCTTTCAGAAATAGAGTTTATATTAAAATGTTATGTTGAAACTTGTAAATTAAAGAAATTTGTTTTACTAATAATTGAAAAAATTGTTTATTAATCGCATTTCAAAAATAAAATTTATATAAATATTACATGTGCACATGCTATAGAAATAAATGTGAAATTATAAGTAATGGTTCAATCATTAAATTTAATTAACAAAGCTAATTGATACAAAAAAAACAAAAAAAAAAACATTAAAATCAGAACTAATATTACTATCTAACTTACTTCAAGAGTAGTTTTAAAATCTTTTTTATAAAAGGATTAAAAAAAATGTTAAATATTTAGGAGGTGTATACGAATACTTCATCGGACCACGCTAAACTGCACTAGACTAACACAGGACTGCACCTGATTAATAATTAATAATAAAGTTAAAACTAGCGAAGGATTAAGATTAAGGTTAGGGTTAGACTTCGCTCTTATCTGGTGTGTTTTTAGTTGCATCTAATATTGAGACAATCTTTTGAAAAAACTCAGTTAAAAAATAAATAATTTAAAGATAATCCACATTTAATATAAATTTTAATATAAATTTTAATTAAAAATAAAGATAATTCAAATAATTTAAAGATAATCCACATAATTAAAGATAATCCACATAATTAAAGATAATCCACATAATTAAAGATAATCCACATAGTTTAAGATAATCCACATAATTTAAGATAATCAACATAATAATCATTTTAATATAAATTTTAAATTGCTGAGTAATTACGAGCAAAAATAAAAAAAAGTTTTCCAATAAAAGAGGGAGAGAACAAACTATAATAAACAGTAAAAAAAGCATACATCTTGGCTTTTGGTAGAAGTATTCCTGCCTTACTCATTTTAAAAAAAAGTTGTTAGTTAGTCTCAATGTCTACAAATCAGAAGTAATAGTACAAAATATGTAATGCAATAGCATCAGGTATTTTCCTTGATGATTTTAAAGAGATTTAAGTTTTACCACTCATTTATGCAACGAAGATGAACTTTACTATTAAATTTCTTCAAATTTGTTGCTTCTAAATTGGATTAAAAAACATTACACTAATAAAAAAAAGATCTCTTCGATTTAAGTTCATCATGGGAGTTTGTTTTGTTATGTAGTTTGTCCATTATGTGGTTTGTTCTGTTTTTTGGTTTTGAATTGTTATACAAAGTTTAGTAAAAAAAACAGAATACGAAATTATAATAATTTTTTGTTAATGCTGGTACAATAGTCTTTTTTGGTGCCCCCCCCCCCTCCTTTAATTTGATTAAATTTTTTTTCTATTTCTATATATTTTAAATAACATGTTTTTTGAAAGAGAAGAAAGTAAATTAGGCAAGCAATTTAAAAATGATATGAAATTTTAATAAAATTGTAAAATGTAAATTTTAAATCACTTTTAAATTTAAATTACTATTTAAGTAACAAACTTTCTCTGAATGCTGGCACAACTAAATTTATATTATTCCATAAATCAAATAAAATTGATAACATCCTATTCAAATTACCAAATCTTATTACAAACAAAACTATTATTAAAAGGAAATCTTTAGTTTACTTTTTAGGCGTGGAGTTGAATGAAAACTTACGATGGAATTTTCATATAAACAGTCTAGAAAAAAAAATTAAAAAAACTATTGGAATGTTTAATCATTTCTAAATCATTTCTAAATTTTAAATTACGAAAAGGTTTATACTTTGCTTTTATTCATAGTTGCTTAACATACTGTAACATATAAAGCTTTACAGTAAACAAAAACATATCGAATTGAATTTGGTGCTAAGAGAGAAGAACCTTGCGAACCTCTCTTGTGTTTCTTGTGTTTCTTGCGTTTACTTGGAGGATTAAATATTTATAAAATCAATTTACTTCAAATTTTAGTCTTTATGTATAGAACTAAGTTAGGATTGTCACCACAAATATTTGAATCCTATTTTAGTGAAATCTGTCATAAATAAAATACATTATCGAAAAAAAACTTCGTTGTTCTAAAATATATTTTGAAATTGAGCTTATTCTCAATTAAATACCGTGGGCCATATCTATAAAAACATTCTCAGACATAGCTAATAACCTCTTTAGACCTATTTAAAATTGAATCTAAACGGTATTTCTTATTTATGAATGATACTATGCTTGATTTTAAAGAATTCTTTTAAATAAATTTAAACTCAAATATAAAAATTACAATAAATTTAAAAAAGCCCCATTTAACAAAGTTTATTAATTTTTTGCTATTGTAGAAAATGTAAACAATTCGATTACTATTTTCTTTTTTATGTAATAAAACCATACAATGTATTATCTTCTAGTTTATATATTTTTGTCTTTATAATAAAACACTTGCATATTACGATTTAATAAAAATGATGCTCGGTGATAAGACGTGTATGATGTATGTATATAAAAATTGTATTTATAGTAAATAAACTAAAAAAAAATATTGCGATAAAAATATACAAAAAAATATTAAAAAAAAATATTGTGATCAAAACAAAAAATAGATGTAACAACTATTGTTGTGCATAAAGTTTAAATTTTATATTTTAACGTTAATGTCTGTCTAGCCTTTGAACTGTTTGCAGATTTTGTCACAGAGTTATTTTTGCAAATTTCCTTTCAAATTTTGATGAATGACTTCTTAGACTATAAAAAGATGCTTTGTGAAGCTCTTGTGAATTGTTGTGAGACCGAACTTTATCAATCTCTCATCATAACTTAAACGATATAGTTCACGTGCCAGTTTTGTTGTTTGTCTTTGACTTTTTTCCAAGCCATTGATATTTTTGTTATTACTCGGACTCCACACTAAAGTTGCAAATTCTAGGTGTGGTCTAACCAGCAATCATATAACTATTTTGTCATTTCAGTGTTTAACTATGCAAAGCTTTTTTTTATCATGTATAAGATTTTTTGTGCTTTACACGTAGCTATTAGAACCCTATGATTGGATGATTTTGTTGTACAACAACAACAAAAAAACACCTTAGTGTTGCTTTTTTGTTGTTGATTTTAGAAAAAAAGTTTTGATTATCATGTTTCTTATTGAAGTTGTTCTTTTTATTTTGTCTTTAAATGTGTCGAACACTTTCATTTAACAATTAATTTTCACTAAACATCACAAAAAAAAAGAAAAAAAAAAAAGACCCTTAATTGCCTAATTACTAATAAACCCCCAATTGGGTGTATGGGGTGGCCTAGCCACGGCTTTGAGTTGACTATTCACTTAACAAATTGATGTCTTTTGTAAATTAACTAGATCAATTAATAAAAATTTCAAAAATCTACGATCGCAAAAAGTGTCGGAGCCGTTCAGTTATGTAGATCTGGGAGATGTAATAATAAAAAATAGATTGTGGATGATGTCATTGAGTGAGAATCAGAAATGAATGTGGTGGGGACAACCATAACTCACGCTCTTGTCATCCTTAACGAATGAAAAAATAATGGCCCGAGTTAGCAAGTCTATAAATTTGCTGGTGTATGAAATGCATGCGTGACTAAAAATATCTTACAATATAAAATGTTTTATGGTTCAAACTCTGAATACTCCTTTTCTGACGCAGCGCGCTAATCCATCAAACTATAGTGTCGATATGTAAATTAAAAAAAAAATAACCTAGTATAAGTCTAGTATAACCTAATCTTAACACAAAACATTAAAAACTGAATATCACCTGTGTCACAGCAGGATATATGAATATTGATAATAACAAAGCGCTAAGGGTGTAGAAGGTAAAAAAATTGTTGGTATCATTATAACAGTTTGAATTAAGTAGTGTATGAATGGTGGTCTCCCTCATCAGGAATGCACTGCGATCACCAATGACGTTTCGCGGAGCCCGAGACCTGGATTAACGCCATTCGTTAGGGGCAGTTCCTTGCAGCGCATCTCACCGCTTGCACTCTACATCATAAATTGCAACATAATAAGACTACATTACAAAAATAATAGGACTACGCTACAAAACCCAAAATTTCGAGAACCTATCCAGTTTTAAAGCCTCAATATTGAGAGATCTCGTGAAGATGGCAAGGGATGTGCGTGGCGTGGCTATGAATAAATATGTTAATACCTAGACTTATAAATATCATGAGTATATGTGAAAATTTTCAGATATAAACAGTTGAAGAAACAAACGTAAACACATGTACGAATGCGCATATATTAAAATAAACAAGTGCAATATGTCTAAAAATAACACAAAGCAGATAGAAAATTATTCAGTATAATTAATTAGTAATAAAAAGTAACAATTCCTACTATGGCTGTAATATATCTTATAATAAGTAAATACCCGCTCTTAAAGATAGAAACAAAGATAAAATGGTTTGTGGTTAGTACAAACATTTGGTATGGAATGCGGTAAATCCGATATTATGGAAAGTATTGATCATACCTGATAAGTGGAGACAATTATTTTTGCACGAAACAGACTCAAAGTAATTAAAAAATGATTAGCAGGAGATAAAGATATATACAAACATTAAATCAGTACAAATAAAATAAATGTGAATTTTTCTAACAGCTTGTAACCACTGAAACCACTGAAGTAACCACTGAAAAAAGTCAGTTTGAAAACAATATTTTTGACAATACATTTAACGTGTTTTTGTTTCGTTGAAAATCAATTTGAAAAAAAAATTAAATGCCCATTATTTTTTTTAATACAAAAAGTTACTACAAGGAAAATCTAATAGATAGAATTAACATATTCAACTTACCTAGCTCACTTTACGGGTCCTTTTTAACTAGTTACGAATATTTTGAAGACATTTCATGAAAAAATTATTATTAAGTTTATTTATTGGATGTTTTATTTACAACTTTGATACATTATCATATTTTTCTCAAAAAACACGCTATTAATATATATATTATTTTACAATTAATTACAATCGACAACTTTGTCGGTTTTGCAATTCGTCATCATCAGCGTAAGTGATTTGAAGAACAAATTTGGCGAAATCTAAACTTTGCCAATAAGCTTGGTGAGATGTTATTGCCGAAAGATATTCGACAATTGATTGTTCCAATACGTAATCAATACGCTGGACTAAAGCTTAAAGAAACAATGAATTGAATAGATAATCGAATAAGTGAAAATTAACATCTTGTTTAACTTTTTTTTTTTGAATTATTTAAAATAAAATTAAAAAAAAAATCTTTAACGTACTTTTTACACCGACATTCTCAGATTTATCTTTTATACCACTTTTCTTTGAACCTTTTTCCGCACTAGATGCACTCGATGCAGCTGACGGGGCATCAGAAAGTTCAACGTGGCATTCAATTTCTTTACCAGCTTTAAATAACGCAGTGAGCCAATTTCCATGTGTTGTCGATCCCGCTGCTTGATACTTTGACTTTTCTAACTCCGAATATATTTGCGTAACACGCACCGGGGGTATATTAGAGTAATGTTCATAAATTAAAGGCTCCAAGCGATAAGCCTTGTAATAAAACAATATGAATGAAATGGTAAAGATAAAAAGATTCAATAACTTTTTAACAAAAAAAAAAATTCTAAGACAAACCAGGGGATCAGCGGGATCGTAGATATTAAACAATCTTTTACAAACAGAAGTTGGCAAAATGTGCTGCTCCACGTCTGATTGCGGCCGTATTCCGCGCATAATCAAGAAGACAGCCAGTGGTGAACCAATGTTAAAAACGTTTTCAACCTGAATTAAAAATATTTTGACGTTTCAGAATGTTTATATAAAACACAATTATAATACCGCAGACCATTACTTGATGTACTTTAGGACATCAAGTAATGGTCTGTTAAGTACACAATTTTCAAGCGCGATAAAAAGTAGAAAAGTAAAACTTCTATTTTACCAGGTTCCAAACAAAATATTTCAAACTTTTCAAAGAATCAAATCAAAATAGCTCCTCCTAAAATATATTTTGCTGTTAAAAGTTCAAATAAAACTGAGATCTTTGAATAGTTGAAGTTGTACGAGATGTTATTAAAAACGTTCGTTTTTGTTCGTTTCGCTTAACGTGGAAAACGTTTTAACTCTCCGTACTTCATATTTGTAACTTTAGAGACGGGGAACATGTCATAAGTTATTTATTATGAAATCAAAAAGTTGTTTTACAGATTATCTGCACCAAATATATATATATATATATATATTATATATATATATATATATATATATATATATATATATATATATATATATATATATATATATATATATATATATATATAAATTAGAAGATCTTATTCATTACAAATCAATTGTATTATTCTAATTCTACAATTTAATGGAAAAAACATCTTTTATTAAAAATTGATGCAAGGAAAAGAAATCTAAGTATAGAACTTTTCATAACGAAGTTATGTAAAAATTTATAAAAAAGTTTATGAAAAGTCTTTTCGGGCTTAAATTCATGATTTTTTGAACGACAACATTTTTTTAATAAGGTAAAAAAAAAGCAATTGCTTTTACTCAGCTTTACGAATAAAAACTTCACAAATTTTAAACTTTTGTCCACGTAAACTTGAGCAATTACTCAGCGTATTTAGAGTAAATTGCTTAACTTTACGTGAATAAAAATTTGAGTGATTTTGCTTAAATTTTTATTCAAGTATAGCTGAACAGTTACTCCAAAAAACGCTGAGTAAATGGCTTTTTTATTCACCCGGCCTAATGAATATTATAAAAATAAGCGATATTGTAAAGATTTAAATAGAATAACTTTTTTTGTAAAGATTTTGTAAGAACCGTTCATTTGTAAGAACCGTTCTTAACTACATCGAGAGGCCGCGAATTTTTTCAGAGCGAACCTTTTAAAGAGTTGAACGCACAACCTTATGCTATAAAACTTTCGTGAAATGAATATTTAGTTTACAAAATTAGGTTGTGTTATGACCTATGAAATACTTTTAAGAACATAAAAACTAATGTATGGATTATTATAAATCTAAAAAAAATCTATTAACAATATAATAAAATATATCGATATTTGTTTCAAAATGACAACAAAATATAATCGTTTATAACAAATAAAACAATAATAAAGATTTTTATCATTCGATTTATGGTATAATTATTACAATCAGATAATTGACTAGTGATACCAACTATAATTTTATAAGTCCTATAATTTGAGAATTATTAGCAGTTACACAAAAATGCTTTTAAAATCAATATACCTCATGTTTATTTATAAAGATTTACACCTTTGCTAAGCTTCAAGTCGAAAATTATCAATAGCGCCAATATCGGTAGACAATGCTAGCAAACATTATTGGCGCAATATTGGGCTAATATTATCACAATGAACCAGTGACCGACCGGTTTGAATTCTCCCCACATACAATTTTATTTTATATATACTTAAATATATAATTGAAAAAAAATTTTTCAACAGTAAAACAGTAAACACCTCTAGCGGAAAAAAAATTTAAACTCAAAAAAAAAAATTTTTATAATTTTTATAATTTATAAAATAGTTTTTTTTTCATTTTTAATAAAATAACTACCAAAATTTGACGTTTTTGTATTTATCTAAACCAAATGGGTATTAGTAAATGGTACCAAATTGTATTTAATTAAGCCAAGCTCATACAACCTTCAACTCTTTAAGTCTGTCAACTATTTACTTTCTCTATTGCAACTATATTGCAACTACCTTGCAACTTGCTCTCCATTCTTTTTTTTTTAGTCCCAACTTAATAGTAGTTGCTTGCAGTCTTGTTAGTAGTGAATCAGAATTAAAAAAAAAAAAAAAAAAATTAAAGTCAACAACTTCCTTAAGCAGTTTGTTTTAAGAACGAAAATGTTATCTGTTGTTTTTTTTAACGATTTTGCATATTACTCATTATATATAGTTTTAAATAAACAGAATGGATATAAGTAATTTTAATTGTTTTTTTTTTAATTTACAAAATCATTGAAATTTAAACTAAAATGGATGTCAAATAATAATTTAAACCAAATGTCAAATAGTTTCATATTAAAACCGAATGGATGTCAACAATTTTTTTTAAGTGGTTTTTTTAAGTACTAAAATGTTATCTAAATTGTTGTTTTTTTATGATTTTGTATACCGTAAAATTGCTTAAGTTTGGTCCCTTAAGCTTTGAACATTCATTTATAACGCATAAATAAAAATGTTTCAATTTTTTTTCATGAAACCTTCAGACAATTATATTCATAATGATATTGTAAAAATAAAAACTAGTACTCAATATTTAATTTCATATGAAAACATCTACTTTGTTTACTTTGAAAACATCTACTTTGACAAAACATTCAATACCATCTCATAACTTCGATTGCTATATAAATCCTAATAATGCATCACAAACTTAACGTCACAAATAATGAAAACTACTTTTTAAATGTTGCTTTATTGCAAAATGATATCAGATTGTAAAATGATAATAAAATCAGGTAAAACCAGTAACCAAGGAGGGTGTGACGGCCTCAAAAAAAAAAGTCTTTTGGGGCACCAAGAAGGAACATATAAAAAAAGGCTTTTTTAAGTATAAATAGTATGATTTTTTATTTTTATTATAACTAGTCAACTATTTTATTACTTTGGCCTTTATCACTTTCGCCACACCACTGGTTAATAAGATTAAAAACACACTTTTCAATTTAGGTAAAAGTTTTTTCATTTACCAAAAAAATTACTACTTTGCACTTGTATATTTTTTGGCGATTCTTGCACATAGGTTATGACATCTAATAAATGAGTAATACCAGGCAACTGTAAGCCATCAAAACACATTTGATTTGAATTAACCAAGTAATTATTAACAACACACAGTACTTTAAGTCTAGTCAAACTAAAACCAATATCACTCGAAAATATTAAATTTTTATTAAAATGTTCTCGATGCTGTCGCTCAACTTTTTTCCATTTTTTTAGTATGCTTGCCGCTACTTCTGTCAATAAAACCTTATGAAGCCGAATGTTATAGTTAATCTTTACCTTTGTCCACAGTCTTCAAACCATGAGCTTTCTTATGTAAATACATAGATACGTGGTTGTATGTAAATCCATAAATGGCATTAGATATATTAACTTGCTAAAGAACTATTTCAGTGTGTTGCAATAAATATTGCAATGCACTGAAATAGTTTTGTTGCAAGTTTACTGGTAAAGTTATATCACTGAAATTAGTTCATATCAGTGATATAAATTTACCAGTAAACTTTGAAATCAAAATTTACCTGAAAATTGACTGGTTAATTTTATTTTAAAACAGGTTAATTTTGAAATTATAAACAAACTCTTTATTTAAGTAAAATACCATGGTATGTATTCATTTAAAAAAATGTCAAAATTTACCGGTAAGTTTACAGATAAAGTTACCGGTAAATTTTCTACATTTTTATTTTGTGAACTAGAAATTAGTAAAAATAAGAAAGTAAAAATGTTACTAGTGTTACTTGTTTACTTTGTGTACATTTTTCACATATCAAGATTTCACAACATTCCTGCTAATTGTCTCTATGGTGTTTATCCATGAATGATTGAAGTTAGACTATTTCAAAATTTCACAAATTTTTGAAAAAAATTTGTAAAGGTCTTCTCTATACTTTTTTTTAAATGACTGAAGTTACATGGTGACCAAACCTAGGCGATTTTACGGTTTTACTTATATATAATTTTACATAAGCAACTTTGAAACTCTAGGAATTACAAACCTTGAAAAAGATACTCTAGAAAATACATAATTTTTGTAAATGTAAAAATTATCATATTAACTTTTAAATTTAAGTTTAAATTTAAAAGTTTTTAAAAATATTATCATAATTAATATAATCAAAAAGTTAATAAAATTACTGAGGTATAGTTTTATAGGTGTTAAATTTTATTATAAAAAACTGTCGCAAGGTAAAGATAAATGTGTATTTTCATTAATTTTGAGTAAACTGTTATCAAAGTAAACTTTTATTTCCCAATAGCAGTTTGACAAAAATTAACTTTAGTTGTTCCAGGGAGTACTAAATAAACGTTTTCAGCATTTGATATTTGTTCAAATAAATAAAAACAAAAAATTTTTTTAGCAAACAAATGATTTGTTTTATAAATGAGTTTTAATTATTGAACAGTTTATTGTTTTAACTTTTGAATGTTTAAAAAATAATTTATTTAATTTTTTAAAATTATAATAAATTGTATACAACACTAATAAAAATTATAAGCTAATACGTTTTTTATTTTAACTGAAAAAAATTAAAAAGCAAATAAAAATTACTTTGTTGAATAGTTTATGCATAAAGTAAATTTTCATTTATACATTAAACTATTTTTGTTTTAAAGCTGAAAAAGAGCATTTTGAAAAAAAAAAACAAAAAATTGATTAGCCTGCTAGACTCTATAATATGAATGAAAAAACAAAATGAGTAATAAAATGACAACTATGATTACTTGACAACTCAGTCAGAACTCCAACAAATTATGTTTACTTGACAACTCAGTCAGAACTCCGACAAATTATGATTACTTGACAACTCAGTCAGAACTCCAATAAATTTTTATTGAGTTTATTCAGTACTAATTTAGACAGGATGACAAAACATTACCAGTGATACTATGGTGGAATTAGTTGAAAAAACCTTGGTTAAAGGTTTTTTTCAAGAAAAGACTGTTAGGTTTTTGATCATAGCATGTCATAAATGGCAAAAATAAGCCCTGTGTTTTTGAGAAC